ATATACGAGAAATCCTAGACGTCACGCAAACGGTTCTGGCACGTGCCGAACCGACTGTGATATCTACGAAATATTTTGCTGCGATTTACAAATGTACAAATGGGGCTTATATTTGTAGTTGAAATACATTTAGGGGCTCTTAACGTTGACCCTTAGGATGATAAAACTGTTAAAATTATGGATATAACTATATTTTTTAATATTAACTGATGTAAGAAAAGTAAATACATATTAGGTATACAATATACATACATATATTATTAATTTTATAGTAATGACTAGCATTGCCCGCGGCTCCGCCCGCGTTCAGATGACCAAAACCAAATTCTTAGGTTTTACATATTAGTATACTCTTACATTGCAGTTTTTGTATTTTTTCTCAGAAATGAGCTATTTTCCCGCGGTAAAAAGTATCCTATGTCTTGACCCGGATAACCAGCTATCACCATACCAAATTTTATCAAAATCTCTCCAGTAGTTTTTCTGTGATCTGCGGTAACAGACAGACAGACGGACGAAAATTCTAAAAACCATAGATTCGGCCTCCGTATCGATAATAATATTTATTTCAATTAGATTTTCCAAAAAATATGTAATGTACAGATTCGGCTTAGTTACTATTTTATTATATGTATCGATAGTAATTATTTTTGCCACTTAATAACTTAATACTTACATTAAAATCATAATATATGGTAGCTATTTATAGGTAGGTGCATGTGTTTTAAGTAACATTTAAATAAAGGTTGTTAAGGTAAATCAATAAAGGTGGACAACAAGCTGATTAGCTGTTACCCTTGAAATCGTGCAAGTGACATGAATAAAAAATTTCATATCATTGATTGTGTATTACAAAATTGCTAACAATCTTTTTATATAATGTTAATGCAATTAGGCATGATTTCATTTATTTTTTAAGTCAGAGTATAATATTTTATTCAAATGAATAGATTGAATAAAAATTCGCTATGTTAATCTTTACTTAAATAGGAATAGGTACATATATTTTATGTAATACTTTAGTATGTAATATACTTAGTACTGAATAAATTACATAAATAACATTACATAAATGTCAACGAGTTTTAAAGCTATATTTATTTAAAAAAATATGTAAAACTTTTAATGATAATAAAGGAAAAAAAAACTACAATTATATATGCGTTTCTATAGGTGTGAATGTTTGAATGGAATTTAATACACAAGTTTATAAATTCATGTTACTAATAAAATTAGCCGAAATTTGGCGCTGTCTGTATATTAAATTTAAAATATAAAAGGCGTCCAGGCACGTGAGACGATGCTAGAATAAGTTGCGAGGTTATTGATACTATTACTTATTATACTCACATGAGGATGTAGGTGGAGATAGGGACCTGTGGAGGAAATCTTAAATCCCATCACATAGGTATAACAACTTATGACAAAGATTAGCAACTTCCCACGAACCCATAGAGTTTAACCAGTCGCCACTATTTTAAAAACTTTGAAATTTAAATAAAAAAGTATTAAAAAAATAATGTTTAATTATTATATAGACAGAACCACTACCTTTATAAACGTGATAGACTGCTTGTACTACCACCCTCAGTAAATAAATCAGTATGTTATTGATTGGCAGTTAGCGACGCCCCGGATAGATTGTTACTCCGTTCAATTGCGGTTCTTCATATTTTGGGGCGTTTTATTATGCTAATGCATGGGAGATTTTAATAATTTTTTTTTTAGATAACAGCGATTTATTCTCGCTTCGCTCTTCTAGGTGCCTAAAAGTCTATGTGCTACTCCAGGGTATCGTATTTCTGCGAAATAAACATTAAAATCCGCCCAGCCATTTTAGCGTAAGTGAGTAAGAAACATACACACATTATATCGACATACCTATACATATAAAGTTTTAACGTTTAATATAGATTTCTCGAAAATTAGATATTTTCCTGCAATAAAAAGTATGTTGACCCGAATAACCAGCTATCATCGTACCAAATTTCATCAAAATCGTCCAGTGGTTTTTTCTTTCGATGCGTTCTCAGACAGAAAGACAGACAAAAATTCTTAAAACTACAAATTCTGTCAATGTGTCGATAAAAATATTTCAATTAGATTTTTCAAAAAATATTTAATGTACAGATTCGGCTCACTTAGAATTTTAGTTTATGTTATTTCTAATTTTAATACAATTAAATCTTTATTTACTGATAGTAACATGAGAAATTTATGTTTTATTTACATTTTATTTATAAATCTAATAACTGTGGTGATAAATTAAAACGAGTTAAACTACTTTGTGTAATGTTGGTGTTATTAAAACTTATAATTACCTTGTACTTGGAATTAATAACGAGGAAATCCTTTGTCTCAACGTGTTAGGACTTTTTTGTTTTAACTTTATTTGTTTTCATAAAGTGGATTCTCAATTTCTTTAGATATTGACTAGAAATTTTATATTGTTATTGATTTTTGTAATAAGAGAATGCTTACCATATGTTAGAAATATTCTCTTGTGTTGACACATTTATACGTTTGTCGTCGTGTGAAGATCCAAAATAATTGTTCTTTTATGGCCGTGATACCAACGCGGGCGTTTAGATGACGATGACAGTTTCATGTTCCCTAATGTAATTTACAACTGAGGCGTTTTATCTTTTAAATAAAATTTAGGATACGGTTTTTATTTAGAATTAAAAAGGAATAGCTATTTATGTTTTACGTTGAAATTGTTAGCTATGTAATGAAAACTAAATAAAAAAATCCTTTCGTGGTTATAATTTGACGTTATTTTAAGATAGTATAAGTAAAGTTCTTAAATATTAGAACTCTAGCTGTAATATTTGTATTTTTATTGCACTATTTTTATATATGCAAAAGTTTGTGTGTGCTGCGGTGCGGATTTAGATGAATTTAGCACACAGATAGGTACATGTATCGTACCTTTCGTTGTTCGCCATATTAACGTGATGTTGCAGGATTACTTACACTCTCAAACAAGTCGATAGCTGGTCTATCGAGGCAAATCACAACAACCAGAGCTTCTACTGTCCACTCTGTTAACAAAGTAGTACCAGGAGCATTCTGCATGGTAAACCTACCGAGATTCATTGAGGTTTCGCCAAGAAAGGTAGCACACTTTTCAAGTGCGTATCTTTGTTGTACGCCTGAATGAATTGCCGAACCCAACTCGGCCCTTATAACAAGGTGAGCACATCGGCGAGTGTGGACAACGTAGACCGTGTTTTGGAGTATCACATTGTGTATTGTTAGTAATAAAATTTGCCAAAAGGTAGAGCTGTCTGCATACAATAATTTAAATACATGAGGCTCCTATGGACACTCCCAAGTAAAGTAAGTGGTATCGCCCTCGCTTGGGAAATCAAGTGATGCGGGTTCGAATCCCGGGTCTCGCACCTCTGATATTTTCATGTGCGAATCATTTCCAACATGATTACCTTTTGTCTTACGGCGGAGAAAAACATCGTGAGAAAACCTGCATGTCTAAAAGAACCTAGCAAGTTTTCGAAAGACATGTGAGGTCCACCAATTCGTACTTGGCCAGCGTGATGGCTATGGCCTGATCCCCTTCGCATACCCAGTATCTAGCAATGGGACGTTAAAGAGGACGTAATATAAGTCGCTATTATGGTATATTTTTATATGGTGATCTGTTTAGTAGCTTAATCACTATTGAGTTTCTTATCGACTTTTCTAAGCAGAACCGTAGAATTGAACTGATTGTTCCTCATGGACTGACTGTACTGACATTAGTATAATTGTAAAAAGTTTGTAACAGTCTATTCTGTTAAAATCTGTTTTAGTTTTTAAGCTCCTTTACTATTCGAAGTTCACTATTAAACAAAATGTGAATAGCTGCAAAAACGACACATATAGAACCCTAATCAATAATATTATATATAATAGAAATATTTATATACGAGCTTTATACACTTGTACTTTCATTGAAGCATAAAGTTATTCATTGAAAGTATGAATAGCCTACTGAAGCCTTTTTTGTGATGTATCTAGTGCTTTGTATTTTGTTTGTAAAGTCTATTCGCGACTTTGACGTTCGATTGTACGTGATTATTCTCTCTAGTTCTTTCTCCAAAACATAATGTACGTGCTATTATTTCAGAGCAGCATATCTATACTAATATTATAAAGAGGTAAAGATTGTTATTTTGTGAGATTGTGAGTTTGTGACGTTGTAGGGGTACTCTCTGGATGTACAGAATCGATTTAGATGAAATTTGGTAAGAAGATAGTTTGAGACCATGGGAAGGATATAGGATACTTTTTATCCCGGAAATCATCCCTTAAGGGGGTGAAAATGGGGATGACAGTTTGTATGGGGAATCAATAGGGACGAACCCGAGCGAAGCGAGGGTGAGTCGCTAGTATGTTATAAAATAATTATTAAGTAATCTGGTAGTATATGTAAGATATTCAGTCAGATAGTAAACAATGATTAACAAACAATCCATAGCTTAAATTGCTGCGTCAAAAGTTTCATTTATATTATAGAAGTAATAAGTAGGGATGGATTTTAGAAAATGTATCCTCCTAGTAAGAAAAGAAAGTGTGTATGAATGTTCGTAATATTTAAAGGTTTAAAGTAATTTTAACACCTCCAGGTAAATTTCTAAGAAATCTATTGTTAACTGTAACGCCGGCGTGTCCGCGGTCGTGGAGGGATTAAGCTTCTGTTTATATATAGATAACGAGAATTATCAGGCTCATTACCTGTTAATTATATACAATTGAGAAATAAGGACATAATATTATATAAAATATGTCCTTATTTTTTAATATACTTAATGACATATATAATATATTTAATAATAATAAATAAATAAATTTGTTGGGATAGTTTTAAATTAATTATAAAAGACACATTTAAAATACTGTACCACCTTTTAATTTTATGGCCTTAATTAAATATTATTCGTAAATATAACAAGTAAGTCGTTTGGATGCACATATCAATGGGGTAACAATTTCGCCTAACTTTTAACCATTTCATCTAACGGCACACTCTTTAAGAATTTATTGACATGGCTATGGATTTTCTTCAATGCAGCATACCATGTTGGTTCTTGTACTAACTCAGAGACTTCTTTCCAACTTTGGTGGGCAAAATTGTGTACGGCATCCGCTGTAAAAGCATAATTGATTAAATAAATAGATTTGTGCTGTAACGACAATATTTTAAGATATGAATATCTAATAGGTAAATATGTGTTTTACGTATTGAAATATATTAGATTTGTTTTGCATCGGCTGGCACCGACTTCGAAAATATCTGATTAGGTATCTATTCTAAATGAAAACCCCCGTTTAGTTATTTTTTACATTATAGTGCCTGGAAGTCGGTATTTTTTTTTAAGTCTTATATTTTATTTTTCATCGAACTGCTATTATAATTGTGATTTATATTAATATGGATGTGCTACATACGAACAGTGTGTATGTTTATGTAGTGTGTTTCTTACATTCAAGCTTAAACGAGACCGATTTGGGACGAAAACTACACAGACTATTATATGAGACCTGGAGTAATGTGTACGGTAAAGGTTACTATCAAGCATCTAGGGTCTATTCTTAGTTATAAGACAACAAGCTTACAGTGTGTAAATATCAATAATTTACATATTAATATCTTATAAGAGCTTAGCGAATAACTTTATTTATGACATTTAGTTAGTTATATTATATAGCTATAAATTTACTTACATAAATCCTTCCGACCATTAAATAAGTTCTTGAAATCGTAATGGTTTGCAGACAAAGGTTGACATATAAGTTTAAAGTTTTTAATAGATAAATGATTTTTTCCATCATTTCCTTGTACAGTTTTCATTTCTGAGTCTACTGTTACCATATAATTTCCTATAAAAAAAATAAACATAAATAAGATAATAAAAAAATAAATTAAATATCGTCCGGATATTATGTAATTTGCCTTTTTAAATATTGATTATATAAAAAGGCAAATTATTTACGTATTATTAAAAAAGACAAATTCCTTATTATTAAAAATATAATTATATATCAATCCCTTCCAAGAAATTATCAAACACATAGGTATATATATTGTGAGTTTGTGAGTTGTGACGTTGTAGGGGGTAATCTCTGGATATACTGACCCGATTTAGAATAAATTTGGTAAGAAGATAGTTTGAGACCCTGGGAAGGACATAGGATTCTTATCCCGGAATAATCACTTTTTATCCCGGAAATCATCCCTTAAAGGGGTGAAAATGGAGATGAAAGTTTGTATTGGGAAGCAAGCTAGGGACGAAACCGAGCGAAGCGAAGGTGAGTCGCTAGTCAAATAATGATTTTTATTTGACGAATAATGGTGGGTATAAGCTTTTCAAGAATAGACAAATGTTATGTACTTAGGTGAAAATATTTTATGGTTATTGTAACAATATACATGTTAAATAAAAAACTAACAAATATAAAGTAGTTATAAAATTTTTATGGTATTAATTGAAATTCTTTTATTTTATATTACTTTAATATGAATAAGAAACCCAAAGAAATATTTAAAAAAAATGCTTTATTAAGAATAATTTTTACCTGTAATCAAACCGTAGTCACCCTTTCCTTGTACGGGTAAAACTATTAGACGCCCATCCATTTCGTATTGACCGGTCATCTTTAGATGGGGACAATGAAGATCATAGTGCAAGTTTGTTAATTCCGGGTTTACTCTATAAAATTAATATCATAAATAAATTACACTAATATAAATGCAAATTGACGAATGTAGGTGGGTTTTTATTACTTTTTCATACCGTAATGACGAATTTGAGCAAAAATCGCTAGCTTTTATTTATGGTATAGGTAATTTGGCTGTTGTTATTATAAACCTGCTCTAACACAATAATTAAAAATTATAAATAATGCAATGATCCCGATATGTATGTAATAAAGTCCATTTACATTTCTAGCTTTAAATGGTCAAATCAAATCACGATACTACCCGTACTCGACAAAATAGTGGAAAAATATCTCTGCTAACAAATAAATTTATTCTATAAGCAACATAACATTTTGTCACATAAGCAATTTGGTTTTCAGCCCAAAAAAAGTACATCACAGTTATTATCAGCATTTTCGAGCTGTGTTAACAAACACCTAAATAATAAAAATCATGTCCTTGTTGTATTTATTGACTATAGCAAGGCATTTGATACACTCCAACACAGCACCTTAACTGTAAAGCTAGGCGATAACGGTGTGAGAGGTCCTATATACTCCTATATAATCCTATATACTTACTAAACTGGTGTCAAAACTATCTGACTGACAGATCTTTTAATGTAAAAATTGACAATACGTTAAGCAATAAAATTCATACTAATAAAGGCACGGCACAAGGATCAATTTTGGGACCTTTACACTATATTACTTACGTGAACGATCTCGAGAATGTTATAGAAAACTGTGAAATGTATCAGTATGCTGATGATACTTGTCTTGTGTCATCAAGCCGTAATATAAAAGAAGCACTCAGCCTTCTCCAGGCAGATTTCGACGCGCTAGCAAAATGGTCACATGATGTTGGTCTCATCATTAATATCTCAAAGACTAAGTTTATGTACATATAAGCTCAAGTCACAATAGACATAATGGTAGAATCCAGCTAACTGCTCACAATCACGATTGCTTACACAAACACATAAACCATGGTTGCCAATGCCCAACCGTAGAAATGGTACAAAGTCAGCGATATCTCGGTCTAATCATTGACGATCGTTTTAAATGGAAAGCTCATATAAACAGTATTTGTGACAAACTAAGAGCCTTGTTATCATAATTTAGTTTAATAGGTAATAAAATTTCCTTTCCAATATTGCTCATGATGTACAGAACATTGGGTGAGTCAATAATCTAGTACGGACTAAGCAGTTACGGTCTTACATATAAAACTCATATTGATCAAATATACAATTTACAGTTAAGACTCATAAAAACAATTGTACCTAAAAAAATTATACATTCCTACAAAGATAACGATCACGGGGTTATTTAGCTATTGCAAAGTAATGACGGTACACAATAGAATTCATTACTTGTTACTGAAAGAACAATATTTTAATACAAACCTACAAGAAATCAAACACAATGGAAAACATTTTCTAAGAAGCAATATAAATAATAAATTAGAAATTCCTAAATATACAAATAATTATGGAAAACGGGTACTGGAATATGTAATCCCTTCTTTAAATTATAAACTATCTAAAACTTTAAAAGATAAAATTACCGAAAAAAATATTAAAAATATATTAAAAAACTTTTACCTTGAGCAGCCTCTATAGACAGTTGTATTACAAACCAGTTATACGCTAGTGCAGTGACAAGCCATTGCCGTCTCGAAATAATATAAACAAGGCAAGTTGGTGATATTCTTACCTGTTTTTAATAGATTTATGTTTAACTAACTATCGCGTATGAATCCGCAGTGCACGGAAAATCTTACATGGTTTTTGTTGCGCTGTTAGTGTTTAGATTAGTTTTAAAAAAAAAATGTAATAAAATTTTAAATAAATAAAAATAAATAAATATACCATAATCTCGTTACCTTTTCTTTAATGTTAGGAAATGCATTTATGTATACCTATCACCTATATATTAAATATATATACAATATACATATATACAGTTACGTGGGACTCACAGGCTTCATTTTGTCATTCCTTGCTTGTTCCCTCGATGTTACAATATACATATGTACATTATATTATATAAAAGTAGCGATGTGCATTAGCATGTGATTAGCAAAAAGACTGGAAATAAGAAAATAATTATAGACTTACCGTAAATCCTTCACGACACAAGTTTTGTAGCCAACTATTGTGGTATTAAAGAATTTATACTTTAGTATAGATAGGTTTCCTTCTATTTTTTCAATAAATAGAGGATCTGATGACTCCACTCCTAGGGATGGGATACCGGAAAGTATTTGTGGAATTACAGCACTCACGGATTTATCTATGCATGCTTTATCATTTGTTTTGCATGGCGTAAACAAACTATCTGAAAAAAATATATATTAGTAAGTATTATATTCGATTATTCAATTATTGGTATCATATTTAAGATTATATTGTATATAGAAAAAAATATTAAGTAATAAAAAAAAATTGCCTATTGATAATGATGTCGATGCCATTAGCTATCAAGGTAGAAGTATAAAGGCACAAATCTTTAATTATATCAGGTAATACTATTTGACCATATTTTTAATCGTTTAATTGTTGTGACAAATTATTACTGTAAATATTTGAAAAAAATTTTTACATTGTAAGGTGACAGGGGAATTTTATTATTAGCAAACACTTTTATTATTAGATTTTAATATTAGTATTTGCCCAATTGTCAACATTCAAACATAATCATTATTGAGAGGAAAACACACATGCATAGAATTTACTTATCTATACATATAATAAAATTGTAACTAAGCCGAATCTGTACATTAAATATTTTTTGGAGAATCTTATTAAAATAGACATTATTATCGATACAGAGGCCGAATAGTATACTATAGTTTTTAGGATTTTTGTCTGTGTGTCTGTTACCGCATCACAGAGAAACCACTGAAAGGATTTTGATGAAATTTTGTATGATGATGGCTGGTTATCCGGGTCAACATATAGGATACTTTTTACCGCGGGAAAATATCTCATTTCTGGGAAAAAGATTAAAAAACTGCAATGTAAGAGTATACTAATATGTAAAACCTAAGAATTTGGTGTTTGGTCATCTGAACGCGGGCGGAGCCGCGGGCAATGCTAGTCTATAAATAAAACTGCGTCCAATATTTTATTGATATCATTATCGCTTAATCATCAATAGCTACTTAATAAAAAATATACAATATAATACTAAATAATTTAACCGACATGGTTTTACATTAGATCTCACAACTTTTTGCGGTAGAAGAACTGCGTTGTGAGACTTGCATTTTTTACAACTTTTTTTTGGTGGGATGATATTGACTTGATATCTCTAAGACAATTGTAGTTTACCTATTAATGATTAGGAAGCAAAAAGAAAATTACACTTTATTTTGATATTTTATTGATTTATAACCTTGTTTTGTGTCAAATGAGTGGTATTTAGAGTTTTTCTAGGCCTATTAACTATTAAGTACGATTAAAAAGTATTTTGAATAAATAATTTTTTTTATTATTAAATATTTATAAAGATAAAAATACTCCTTTTAGTATGTGTCATACAATATAATGAAATATTCATTCGTCTTGTGAAACCAGATACGTAAAGTTGTGGAATAACGGACCACGCGCGACGGCTATGTTCGGCGCAATGGCGCGACCACTGGAAGGTTAATAAATGATTTCGCATATTTTCTACTATGCCACCCCACAATATAAAGTTACCAAGTCCAAAAAATATCATACATTAGAAACGCAAAATTAATACTTTCTTAGATTTACGCGAATGTTTGACATTATTAAATAAAACTATCTTTTCGGATTATTTCGCGGATTTATTTTGATTTTTGGTTCCCGACGTTTCGATTGCTTTACAGCATCCATGGTCACGGGAGAGACTGAGGTGTTACATGTCTTGAATGTATAGTTGTTACAGACAGCCTACCCACAATTAACAAAATGAAAATTGCACCAATTACATTACAATATTTTTTAACTTTAAACATTTTTATAATTTTAATTATAATTGAATATGGAAAATTATTTATTTCATTTTTGCTATTATTTTTATAATTATTACAATTTTAAAATATTAATTAGTAATCTATATTTAGTGTTGCCATTATTATATTTATAACCATAAAGAAAAATATAAAATATAGTATTAATTATTTAAGCCATATAATTGTTCTATGTGTAATTAAAAAGTTAAAATTAATTAAGGATAATAATTTTAATTTAGTTTGCTATTATTTAAAAACAACTTACTAAGCAACATTATTAATATATACTTTTACAAAAAAAATTTATAAAATTAATTTTTTATTAAATATAGATTACTAATTAATATTTTAAAATTGTAATAATTATAAAAATAATAGCAAAAATGAAATAAATAATTTTCCATATTCAATTATAATTAAAATTATAAAAATGTTTAAAGTTAAAAAATATTGTAATGTAATTGGTGCAATTTTCATTTTGTTAATTGTGGGTAGGCTGTCTGTAACAACTATACATTCAAGACATGTAACACCTCAGTCTCTCCCGTGACCATGGATGCTGTAAAGCAATCGAAACGTCGGGAACCAAAAATCAAAATAAATCCGCGAAATAATCCGAAAAGATAGTTTTATTTAATAACGCAAAATTATTTTAGTGTACCAACGAAGGCGGTCTGGGCATTTCAAACAGCTGAACATTTATTAAAAATCAGCGAAAAATCTGGAAATCTCTGTTTCAAATTTTGACTTCAAAGAAAATGCTCGCAGAAGAAAATTAAAACCAAATATTCTGTTCCGTAACACATTAAATTTATATTTTACTTATTTACTTATATTTTATGTTAATTTATTACGCTTCAAGTAGTATCTAAACACACCCTTTTTCAAGCCTTTTCTATCAAAAGTTTTTTATGCTTTTTTCACATTCCTTCACATATTTAAAAAGTTAGAGGGTAGTAAAAGAAGCAGGATTCCATAAAAGTCTGTTTAGCATACATCTGATTGCTGAGTGACATAAAGTTGCCCTAGGTGATCGTATTTTCATTCAAACGCATAGCTGAACAACAATTGCCTCGCCGGCTGCTGTAACATCTACTTGTGGTGTAGAACACCCTCTTAGATCTTCATAATTAGTATGGTCACATTAGGGATTTCACCTGGGAATCTTTAATATATTAAGGTGCGGACGAGATAAATGAGCCTTTTGACACGGTTAATACAACTTTTCAACTTATTACCTCTGATTCCAAGGTCCGTTCCATATTTTGGCTCATTTGACCTGACTGATTGTAGGCGCAAGGCCTTGGATTTTAAGTTTTTTCCATGCCTGAGTTTATACTTTATATCTTTTCATATCGTTTTAATATATTTTGTAATTTCCGCATTTTTATTTGACCTCCTCTTTCTGATAGAGACATTGACACTTATTTCGCGAATTAATTTTAATTAAGTTATAATTAAATTCAACATCGGAATAAAATTGACAGAAACCGGTATTGGTTTGTTACAGATCATATTACTTATTAATTATTAATCTAACACTTATTATTTATATATTAATTGAGTAAGAATATTTATTCATTGAGAGCATTTGCAGCAGATGAAGTCGGCGTAAAATCGAAGTAATAATAATAATAATGTTCTCCTGACCGATTCCGGCTACGGCGGCCAATCTCATCGTGACTAGCCAACTACGCAGGAGATATTATAGTGCACAAGTGTACGCGCAGACACAAGTGCACTCTCTAATCCTGTCACTCTCATACTCCGGTGGGACGACTACTCGACACGACCGGTAAGAGTTAAGTCGCAGGACCGACAGCTTCACGGGCTCTCCGAAGCACGGGGGTGAATCACCGCCAACTTCCCAACTCTGGGCTGTTACTGAGGCTTACTATACAGAAATACTCTTACTATACAGAATAACTAAACTTAGCCCGACCCGGGACTCGAATCCAAGACCTCCGGGTGTGCAGCCGTACATGCTAGCCACTACACCACCGAGGCAGTTGACTTGAGGCAAAATCGAAGTAATCATGTATTGGAAGTTAGGTAAAGATATTGTACCTATGACAAATAAAAATATTTTGAAGTAGTCAATAAGTAATGTTAGGATAAAAAAAAATGTATTTTATAAAGAGGGTTTTGCATTGATTTTTATTTAGTTCCATTTAATGATTAATATAGCCTTGAATCAAATCAATATACGATAGAGATTGTGCGACGTGATGAAATTTTGTATGTGTGAAAATTTAATTTTAGTACACCCATACTAACTACGTCTAGATATTTAGACGTATATTTAGGCTAGCTATTTAGACATACTTATAGTTAAATCTATAAAGATTTCAATGTAAATTTTAATATTTTGTTAACCGAGCATTTGTAGGGACTATTTCTTAGGTAAGCTAATTATGTGAAACCTCTGGGAAAACAATTTACTATACCTACATATTTTTCTTATGGTAAGCGTCATATTTTGGACGGGAAAATTATAATTTTCAAATTGCTATAGATTGTTATCTTCGTATCGACTAGAAAATTATAATCCCTATCGAAATTACTTCTTACGTTGTAACTTCATATCGAAAGTAATTTTTAGAATGAAGGTTTATAAATGTTATTGTTATTGTTATAATTGTCCCAAAAAATTATATAAAACACACAGAAATTAATAATAATGTCATACTAAATTTTGCATGCGGCTAGGCTCGCGTGGTACGTCAATAAAAGTAGCATTTGTGCTAATCTGGGATATGATACTACACTATATATACACAAACATACCCTACTTGAGGTACACACATATTTTAATATTTATAATATTAGAATAAGTAAACACATCCAGTCCATAGGTAATACTGTATATTGTGTGTTATTTGATTACTAAGTTACAAACACGATATCAAGTTTCACATATATTCATGCAATAATATTTTTTTTAAGTGGCATACCTACAAATTACTCTTTATTTTTACGAATTTAAAATTTTTCTAACTGTACATTATTAAAATCATACATCACATGAATAATATAGGGATTTTCGTGCAAATTAGTTTTTATTATGTGGAATAACTTCCCGAATTTCGATATCAAAAATTATTAAGCATTATTTATTACAGTATTATTTTAGAATATCAAATAAATATCTTCTAAAATGTATAGAAATAAGCAATCCAATAAACCACTTGTAATGTACTTTATTTAAATATTTATACATATATAAATATTATATTTTCTGTTTATTTTCTAAATATTAGTTATTTTTAGATATTAATAATCCTAGCACTTACTTGATAAAGCTTTGCTGGATAAACAAACAACTGCTAATAATGTTAAAAGAAACATAATATCTGTCTGTCTTCTGTCGTATCAAAAATTGTTATGCTACAAGAAAATTAACATCCATAGATATATAAATGATCCGACCAAAGCGTGAGATAAGAGCGTGCTAAAGTTGCAAGACTGGTTCCGTATGTAAACTAAAGCGTTATAACAACAAAATGTCAAGAAACTAAAAATGGTTATCATTATAAACATAATCTTTTATTTCAATCTTAAAATGTATTTTAGATAATAAATTTTAAAATGTACTAAGATTTTGACTTACAAAGATCTTCTAAAAAGTATTTTTAACAGACTTCTACAAAGGAGGTTCTCAATTAGTCGGATTCTTTTTTTTAATGTATGTTCGCCGATTACTCGAAGACGATGCAAAGAAAATCTAATTAATATATTTCGATACGTAAAATAAATATTTAACTATGAGATATTCATATCTTAAAATATTGTTGGCTGGCACCGACTTTGAAAATATCTGATTAGGGATCTATTCTAAATGACTTTTTTACATTTTTGTGCCTGGAAGTCGGTTTTTTTTTAAATTTTTATATACTGTCTGACTTTTGAAATTTTAAATCTGGACTACGTTTTTATTTATATATAGGTACTTATTAGAGATTCTCTTTGGCTTTATTATATTACTAGCGATTATCACTTAGCTCGGATGCATTACTGGGAAGTCTTACAGTAAATTGTCACTCCAAGTCCATGCTATGTATGTATACAGGTAGTGTGCGTAAATACATAATATGTATATCCCAACATCGCGCTGGCACTTATAAAATAACTAGTTTAGTTGCCTTACATATGTATACATACATAATTATTATAAAAACAATTCAAGCCGGTTTGTATTTTTGGAATTGGTTTTATAGGCAACATTTTGATTTCTTGTTCACATGTAATGAAATGAAATGAAATATTCTTTATTGCACACCATGTAATTTGACGATGAATTCTTATTGATCTTGAAAAAATAAAACGAATAGCAAAAATATTTTTTTTCGATATATTACTCAAAAATTATATAATTATTACTCAAACATTGAAAAAAAAATGAAATTTTTAGTATAAAAAATTATCTTGAGGAAATAAAGGAGTAAAAATTTGTAGAGACTTAAAGTTAAAATATTTCCATAGATTATTATGACATTTGCTATCATTATGACACTTCCAATTCAATTCAGTTCTTCCAATTCCTCTGATGCTGTCCAATACCTATAATTTTTATGTCGAAACTGTCACCTTTAAAAAAAAACATAGCCCTTAGTATGATATTGGGGATTCTAGGTTTGAAATAATAAATAAATATATTATAAAAATAAAAAAACTCTACTGCATAAAAGTTAACTAAAAAGATAAAAACAAGTCCACGAAGGCATCTAGTATTTTGAAGTCGGAGACAAACACGTTTCATCCTTGCCGCAAGATGTACATACTCGTATGTATGTCTCCTCGAAAACAAAGTGAAATTTTTATATATTTATTATTAGAAAATTTTATCTTTATATTTAGTTTTATTTTTATATTTTTAGAACTTTTCTTCAAATTACGGTGCCACGGAAATTAAAATATCTCTTTTTTTTACGCGATACTCTATAAAGGTCTTGAGGCACGTCTTAAGATATTCTAAACACTATATAATCGATTTTATCTGCTGATGAAGTTTTTAAGCATTATACATTTATTATTCTATGTTTTTCTAATAATCACGTGTGTGAATCAGATGACATAAATGTGATAAATTGTTGAATATGTTACACGCTATTAAATTTTATGTAAATCCTTAAACTTATAGCCTTCACAAACTACAGGTATTTTTTGCCCCCTGCACGACGAAAGGGAGGGTAATGTGTTTATCAGTCTATGTATGTTTGTTTGTGGCACTCTAGAGTTCAAACGCGCGGTCCAATGTTGATGATTCTTGCGTCGTTAGATTCGTCTTGATAAGGCGAGTGTCATAGTGTATATAAATATAATTAAAAATCAAAATGGCGTAGGATCCTACGACGCCCCATTAAGACGGGGGAGTCGTAGAAAAAAGGAGTTATTGGCCACTGTATGCATTTATGTATGTAAAATTTCGAACATAAAGTTTTCATGGCCTCAATATAAAATATATATTTTATTTAATAAAAGTATAATTTTACAATATGTACCTTTATAAAAGAACTTACAGATTTATCTGTTCTTGAATGGCACTTGTACACCCACATACAATCTTTCGTATTTATTGTACATAGTAGTTCGATTTTATAAAAGCAGTATCTGTAATTAACTTACCAATTATTATTATTATATGATTTGTAATTTGTATCCTCAGATCCACGGATCTGTGGATTGCTTTTTGTTAATGTTCAGTCGATTTTTTTCTTTCCTTATTCATAACTTTAACTTTTTGCGTTGTCAACTACAAAAAACAACACATTCTAATTTGTTAGTCAAATAAAACTAATGCAAATGCCATCCTTGTATATTAAATACGCACGAAACTACCAGAACACCTATATCTATATAGAACTAAATAAACAGGAATATCTAACACAATTTTTCAAAAAAACTTGTCTTAGTAAGATGATGATGGCAATCAGTATCTTACTCATTTTTTTTACTTTATTTGTGTAAATCGGGTTAATTAAGATAATTGTTTTTATTCCTTAGGATTAAGTGTAACAGGTATTAGATGTAAGATGTTAGATGTGTTGATCGTTGTACCATTACGCAAACAGAACATTTATAATAATAATATTTCTAGCGTTCTTTTTAAATTTGTTTATGACTATACGCTAGCGTATCATAAAAAAAATAACTCAAAAAATCTATCGATTCATTGCGATAATGGCAAAATTATAGCAGCACAGGAAAACCGGCTAAATGATGACTCATCGTCATTAGCCCGTATAGAATTAGATAATAGATATAACTAAAATATTTCAAGCAGAGAAAAAAAATTTAATTAAAAATGTATTTCATCTATACTTATAATAAATCTGTAGAGAGGTCAATTCTGTACATGAAATATATTTCCAAAATAACTATCAGGGGGTGATTAGGGATCGATACTGATGCCAAAAATGCAATCAGTAAAAATTTTATCTGTCTGTCTGTCTGTCTGTCTGTATAACCGTTATAGAAACAAAAACTACTCGACGGATTTTAACGAAACTTGGTATAATTATTTTTCATACTCCTGAGCTGGTTATAGTATACTTTTCATCACGCTACAATCAATAGGAGCAGAGCAGTGAAGGGAAATGTTGGGAAAACGGGAGAAGTTACTCCATTTTTTAAGCTTCCGTCGCGTGTGCAATCTTAATGGTTAAAGCTACACAGAAATCAAGTATGACGAAAATGTTCTCCTTAAAATTATATAAAAAATATCCCACGACAGCATATGTCTATCTTTTATGGTTGACTCACAATAACACATGTAACTCCCGATAGATTAGCAGTTCGAAGCTTTCTGATTTATATTTGTCTACTCTTACGTTTATAACACTCTCAGTCATCCCTAATTAGAAAAGTTAACATTATTAACTATTCCATAAAAAAGAATAATAGAAATCGGTATAGAAACACCAAAGTTATACATGAAATACGCTAATAATAAAACATCGCGCGTGAATACTGATTCATATTTATATCTATTTAAAACGTACCTAGCGACGAACCCGAGCGAAGCGAGGGTAAGCCGCTAGTATATGTATATTTTTAACTATATTATAATTAATTTAATTTATAATCCAAGCTTATAAGTTATCTTCTAAATGTTTGACTTACCGCAAATGATTAATGAAGTGCCTTAGAATACAGATTTTGATATGTTACACACATACTCTGAAATGTTAAAATAAATTGCATAATATGCCATCATAATTTTGTGTATATTTGTGTTATTATATAAAAATTCAAGGTATTTATAAAAAATATGGTTTAAGAGATTTGAAAAGTTCTTATCAATCTTCAATTTCAATGGGTAAAATGTTGGGTCAGGATCAGTGTGGGATGACCTGACTCCTCGAATGAGAAGATTTACATATCGTCCGTGAACTTCTGATTCTTCCTAATTAGCATTTTTGCGCAAAACTTTATTTTAATGACATCATTTGTTTGTACGTAGATAGAAGATCTCAGAAGTTCACGGACGATAATAATGTACGCCAAGTAAATTGAGATTGTTCAGTGACTGTTGAATGAAATAAAACATGCAAAAGCTATACGAATGGGAAATTTTAAAACAAGATAACTTAAAGTAACCTAGAAAACTTATGTGAATAAGAAACACATATATAAGAGAGAGGAAGAAGTAGAAGAGAAGAGAGACTAAGAGAGAAATCGTTTTCGTTTCTCAAGAAAGTACCTAATGAACCAATTAAATTTTAAAATATATGTGAAGGATTTTTAAGACTGTCGCACTTATGATAATATTTGGCGGAAAAATGGTGTGGATGAATAATCGAAATGTATATTATTTCAATTAAAAAAAACTTCAAAAAAATCACTTCCAGGCACTAAAAAGTAAAAAAGTAACTAAACGGGGGTTTTCACTTGCAATAGATACCTAATCAGATATTTTCGAAGTTGGTGCCAGCCGAAACAAAGCAAATCTAATCTATTTTGATATGTAAAATACATTACAAATTGATGTATAATATTTTAACTATAATTAGAGTTCATACCTTGTTATATTTACCTATTAGATATGCATATCTTAAAGTATTGTCGGCTAGCACCGACTTATTTTTTAATTTTTAGTGCCGTCCGTCCCGTAAGTCGGTTTTTTTAAGTTTTTATTTTTCCATTTTTAATGTAGACGTAATAAGCAGATAATTTATGAGAAGAAAGTTTTTTAATAACATATTCGATTACGCCATTTATTTAATAATAATTTATTGTTGATTTTTTAAAACCACTCGACCGATTTCGATGAAATTAAAATGAGTGGTCCTATTTTAATTTCGTCGATATCGGTAATATCCTGTGAAATAATAAAAAAATCCAATTCGGTTCAGACGTCTTCGAGTAATCGGTGCACATACATAAAAAATCAGATAAATTCAGAATCTCTTCCTTTTTTGGAATAATTCAATGTGTTTGATAGTATTTTGTATTAAAAGTATTTTAAAAAATCATGTTTTTTTCCTGTTATTCAAATTATAATTACGACAACCCTAATATCTGACTAATTTTGCGTGCTTAAAACAACCCTAAACTACCATGTTCAGAATTCAGAATAAAGTGAAACTCCATGAAGTTAGTCTACTCATACCACACCCTACACCTGAGTAAGGTTACAAAATCCCGATGTAAAGTCAGGTAAGCAACAAAAATTTGCGTTTTATTTGTATCTTAAATTCGCGATTAGTATTAAACTATTTTCCTTCACCGTAACGGTGAAGGAAAACATCGTGAAGAAACCTGCATGTCTGAGAGAACCTAGCAAGTTTAAAAGACATGTGAAGTCCGCCAACCAGCACTTGGCCAGCGTGGTGGACTATGGCCTGGTCCACCTTGTATCGGCGTCCCCGTCGTACTGAAGGGAGGCCCGTGTCCAGCAATGGGACGTTAAAAAGGGCTGAATACATACATACATTAAACTGTGCCAGGATACTATATCACGGCTTGGCAAACGAAATGTATGTGTGGAGCGACGACATACGCAAAATTCAAGATCAAGCTCAGTGGCGTGTCATAGTGGCCTAAGAGCCTGTGAACGCCAGACCTTCGTCATTTTATAAAGGCTGAAAGTTTGTCAGCACATGCTCCCAACACAGATAAGAACGATGGACCATTATGAAGTTCAGGCTATGGTGGCTTTGGCAGGTACACGGTACTAAAGCTGTGTAAAATACCGATCTAAATTCGTCAAATAATAAAGTGTGATTTTTTGGTATTACCTTCAGAATATTATTAAAAATCACGTCATTCAATGCCAGACACTTAACATCGTGGCAAACCCTTGCCAGACAACCTTTTCATGAAATCATAATTCTACTTACGTTATAGTATAAAAGCGGATTTTTATATATAATACTTGGGTAATAATTAGATGATTTATAAGACTGCTAGCATAGCATTTATTACACACCATCAAAAATAAAGTCAATTCTTAGGGCTTCAAATTTGGTGACCATTTGCAACATTTTCTTAAAAATGCCTGCCAACTTGCTTGGAACATTTTTCATGGAACTTCAACTATATAAAATATTAATCTCATAAAATAATCAGTGAGTGAGGAAATTTAATGTCTGATCTTAGAGCATAATGCAAAGGATTGAATTGCGCAGTGTTGTTTTTAAATAAACGATGAAAAGATGGAATATTTCTTAATATCGTTTTTAATAGTGTCGTATATTATAGTACTTAATAAGAGTAATTATCATTCAAATGGATATTATTACCAACGTGGACCTATTACTCGTATTAACTAGGTACTAGTAACTACTAGTACCTACTTAATAAGAGTAAAGATTGAGAGGTGATTATGTACGACTATGTAATACATATAATTTCATTTATTACCTACATATTTGTACATATTGTATTACATAGTTCTACATAATCACCGCTTACAACGATAGAGAATAATGAATGATGTATGAATTAATCACTAGACATAAGAAAATCCATTTTTATACTGAGCAATTTTCAAATTAAAAAAAATCTAATAAGATTTTTTAATGTGAATTTTGATTATACGGAATGGAAGTGGAAAGAATTATATGTATCAGTTTAGACACAATACGTTAGCAAATACGTAAGCAATTAGAATATGGCGATGCTTACATTGTAAACAATTCGGTATTAACTATGGTTTTTTACAGTGTAGCTTAAAGGAACTAGAAATATAAGAAGACAAGCAGTAACACTGATTTTATTTTATTAATTTTCGTTTACTGACTTCCCACTGCTGGGCATGGATTTTCCTTCAATGCGAGCGGTTAATGTTACACAAGAGCGGGTTGATGGGCTTCACGTGTCTTTCGATTTGATTCTTAGATTCTTTCAAACATGCAGATTAAAGGATTTGTCATGTTTGCCTTCATTGTAAGGCAAATAATAACCACTATTCACGTCACTAACACCGCCGGGCGGGATAAACGCAGTTAATTTGGTTGGGTTTTTAGTAAAGTTTCTCGTAGTTATGCGCGCGCTTTGGGCGCGCAGTAGTGGTGTGTCGTGATTGGGGCGCGAAATCATGAAACGCACTGGGAGGCGGCCTACTTCGGTGGGCGGTGTGCCATGCCGATCGCTCCTGGTACTCCTCTGATAGCAGAGTGGACCGTGGAGAAACGCCATGCTTGTTGTGGTCTGCTTCGGCAGACCTGCCGTCGGTGCATCTTGGTTGAGTGCGTAAGCGATTCTGCGATCGAACGGGGGATAATTAGGACGAGGGAGGTTTTGCTGGGTCTTAGTGGGTAGTATGTTCCGGTGAGTCCCACAACTCGTGCCTACATGCATTTCCCAACGTTAAAGGGTTGTTGGCCACTGCGTGTGTAATTTAATTAAGTAATGGTATTTAAACTTTTGAACATAAAGTTGGCATGCCCTTGCAAAATTTACAAAAAAGGATTTTAATACAAATATCATTTTACAATGTGTGCCTATATATTAAAGAAGATGTGCACAAATATAAATAAATCATGTTGTGTGTATAAATTTTATTAATTACTGACAATAACGATTAAAACAGGAAAATTGTCTCATTGTTTTACATAATGTCAGATACAATAAGCACTGCAGTACCATAGCATGGCAAGTTACCCTGTACCTTTCAGCCTCTGAAGCCGTCTCCCGAATGCCATATAAAAGTAAGTATGACAATCGGTATGGTGTTATATGCCGCTCCAGCGTGGATAGCCCTCACAAGCGATTCATCAAAGAAAAGACTCCAAAGACTACTAAACAAAGCCCTACGACGTGCAACCCAGGCTCCCCGCTTCGTAAGAAACGCGACAATAACGCGAGACCTCCGATTCGGGAGCCTGGACGACTGCATCCGACGCCAGACAGAAAGAATGTTCGAAAGATTCGACGCATCCGCACATACACACATACGAGGCATCGCCCCATGGCACACTCGTCCTCCAGACAGAAGAGCGCTCCCCAGAGATGGCCCAACAACTAGAAGCTAAAACAGCTAACCCGGCTGACGGTCGCCTAAAACCGGGCCGACCGTCCGGGTTAACAAAGAACACCAGAAAAAGGCCTTAATGAGGCCTCTCCAAGGACGCGCTCATAGTCATGAGCGGCGAGTGATACCATGGCCAGAGGGCATAGCCCTGAAGCCATTTCCCCACTCCTCCCCCGCAAGGGGCGTAGCGAGCGAGAAGAATCGAGTACGAGGGTATGGTGTTAGTCACGTCTCACCTGGTACACCCAGCATTTACCTATCTAGATGCCTTCGTCAGATGACTGTATGGATTAATAGACTGTGGTGTATTCCTTGGTTTATGCAACAACATTCAATTGATCTAACTAGCGTTCAAGTGTCCGCCATATATATTTTTTCGCTTTAATAAAAAGAAGGGGCAGTGTAACTACTAAACTTATATTTTTTATATAAGCAAATAAAAAACAACAGGCATTTATTTTAATTTATATAAAAATACAGTCAACTACACAACAAAACAATTATATAGTTAATTTTCTTCCATTTAAATAATGGTTCGTATAGTATTGTATATCATTCTTATTATTATCCGTTGTGACCCGTAAATAATTGCTATGTGTCTCGACAAAGATAGATCTTGTTACCTATATATTCAACTTTAGTTACGATAAATGTTTTATGTTATTATATACTATACTAGCGATTCATCCTCGCTTCGCTCGGGTTCGTCCCTAGGTATGTTTTAACGGTTAGTATAAAATACGAATCTTTAAATTTCTCAGCTTTTTTGTACTATTATAATATGTATGTATTATACATACTATAAACCTTGCTCTTGAATCACTCTATCTATTGCTGAAAACTGCATTAGCATCCTTAGAGTAGTTTAAAAGATCTACGCGAACATACAGCGGAAGTGACTTCATTTTTAATCGACTTTCAAAAAGGAGGAGGTTCTCAATTTGTCGGAATATTTTTTTTATGTATGTTCACCGATTACTCGATGATGCCTAAACCGATTTGAAATTTTTATTGCTTAAAAGGGTATACTTCCCAGGGGTGCCCATATAAATTTTATCGAAATCGGTCCAGAAGTTTCTTTAAAAAATCAACTATATATTTTTTTTAAATGAATTGTTTAATGGAATATGTTGTTCAAAAACTTTCTTCTTACAAATTACCTGTTTATTACTTCTAGACTAAAAATGGAAAAATAGAAACGTAATATTTTTTTAAAGTTTTTTATACTAGTACTATGTAAAGATGTATGAAAATCTGTGCAGTAGTTTTAGAGTTCATCGCGAACAGACAGACAGACGCGGCGGAGGACTTTGTTTTATAATATGTAATGATATATTTTTTCTATTATCATTTACTCAACATACATATTCGAATAATAGAAATATTAAATAATATTTATAGTATCATTTTTTTTAAATTAGCGTTCCCAATATACTTTGATCGCATGTCGCGACTTATTTTCATTTTTCATTATCTCCTAAACTGTATAACCAAATGACAACATAAAGGGATGATTTTAAATGTACTTATTAACAATGTGTGATTATAATATTATGATTTATTTTTATAAGGATTAATATTTTCTATTTCAAAGGGCCATTTAAATTTTATACTCATTCAAAAAATACTTTTTCAAACAGAAGCGACTATATGTGCTAAAATATAAAAAGTAGGTATAGGATCCGGGACTTTAAATAGGCTTCTTAGAGATCTACATATATTTACTTCTTATATATATATATATATATATATATATATATATATATATATATATATATATATATATATATATGTAAAAGAAAGTCGTGTTAGTTACACTATTTACAACTTAAGAACGACTGGACCAATTTTTATGATATTTGAATTTTTGGATTTCCCTTAGTCCGGAATAGGATAATAAGTATTAAAAGTTAAAACGTATTACGTAAAACATTAGAAAAAATCACAAAAAAAATATATGGTTAACGCTGGCTAATAACTATTTATATATATTTAAAACGTACCTAGCGACGAACCCGAGCGAAGTAAGGGTGAGCCGCTAGTATATCGATAAAAATAAAAAGTTCGTTAGTAGTTCTCTAGATTAGAACGTACAAACGTCCTGACAGGCGCTCGCAGGCGATATCTTTTTACCCGACTGCGGCTAAGCCTAAAGGAGATTTATGCCTTTGACTTGTATGTATCTTGCATTCTCTGGTAATTACTAAATGATTTAACTAATTTTGATAACTTATACGTCGTTAGTTCGCCTCAATAATGCAAATTTGACGGGGTATATTGATTTTAGAAGTCAATTGGTATCTTTATAAAAATATCTCCCAAATCTTTCGAGTGGAACATCAACATGAAGGTTTTTAAGAGGCGATCAAAAATATATGCAACTTATATGTTTAAAGTAATTTGGAATAAAAATTCGTTTAATATAATGTATAACTGGCCAATACTATTTGCTAATATAATACTAAAGCCAATACTAGCAAAGTCTAAAAAACTGATAATAAAAATATTAAAATACCAAACTTATTAAAAAGCTAACTAAAAAGTGCAGAAAGTTCCAACACTTCCCTTTCAGATACTTATCTTCTTGATGATAAGCTGTCTAAGATTTTTGATTATAATTCTACCTCACTCTCCCTAGTACATATCAACGCGCAGAGCATGCCAGCTCATTATACGTATTTTCTCACGTCCTTTAATACCGGTGTGGTTGACTGTATACATGTTTCAGAAACCTGCTTGAAATCATCTTTATCGCCTGCCAGGTTATCAAATATTCCGCAATGATCGCACTGATCGTGGAGGTGGGTGTGTTGGTATAAATATTCGCGGCAATATATCCGCTAGTGTTGTTTCTTGCTCCCCTTCCCAACCTACAGGTTCGCTTGAATATCTTTTCCTCGAGTTACGAATACACATAAAAAAGTTCTTCTTGAGGTTTTGTATTGCCCGAATGATAAGATCAACAATTTTAGTGACTTAGAAAATGTTCTGAGGAGCCTTTTACCTAACTGTGATCATGTGATGGGTGACATGAACACCTGTTTACAAAAAGACGACGAGCTAAACGCGTTAATTACTTTTCTTATTTTCAGATTCTTTCCATGACTTCCCTTACTCATCACTTCCCGAACAGTAGGCCTTCTTTCCTTTCTTGAAGCTATTTTTCAAAGAATTAAGAATAGATCCCCCTTGGAAAAATTAAAAAAAATGTTATTTTTCACTTTGTTGTTAACAATTTCAAAAACAATGTTTATATTTAAATTTTTATTGTTTATTTAATAGACGATTTGTTATAAGCAGATATTTTTTTTATATAGATATTTTTTTTCTTTTTCTACATAATGAAACAAAAACAACCATGTGTTATTTTTTGAGAAAAATAATTTATTTATATTTTTTATCGAATTTTAAAACCTATGTAAGCTAAGTAATATGTAATACATAATATATAATACCTATGTAAGATAAGTAATGTCTTAAAACCTAAGTATAATTTTTTAACTTAAGTAAATTTCACAATAGCTCCAAAAAAAACTTAAAAATTTAAAGTGTAATCTAATATATTTAAACAAGCAATTCTAATAATCTGAATCTCGGAAACGGCTCCAACGATTTTCATGAAATTTAGCACACAGGCGGTTTTGGGGGCGATAAATCGATCTAGATTAGTCTTATGTCTGGGAAAATGTGGGTTTTTGAGTTTTCATGCGGTTTCCTTTCGCATTATTCCACTCAAATTATGGTCGTAATTTCGCACACTCGGATATAAGTTTTTTTGTATTTATTCAAATTTTTAGTTTGTTTTATATATATATATATATATATATATATATATACAAGAATTGCATGTTAAAATATATTAGATACGTAATATTTAACTTTATTACAATCAGAAATTAACTTTTGCACACTTTACCAACTAGTTTAGTAATTTTGTACTGATTATTATATATGCAAAAAGACCAAAAGTACAAAAGAAAATTCTATAGCAGATTAATATAGAACAATATTTTCTAATGGCACGCCCTTGAGATAATCGTTTATATAGTGTATGACTTTCTTTATTATAGCAGTCCACACCGGTCCCTCCACAAATGAGCCAACTTCTTTCCAGTTTTCATGAGCGAATTTATGTACGGCATCCGCTGTAAAATATTAGTACTTATAAATAATTACCTTTTGCATGCTCCCTCACTTGCTTAGTTTATTTTTATAGGACCTGGACGACCGGGCGCTTTGCAGTATATGTATTTTAATAGATATATAAAAATAGTATTTTATTAGGAAGGACACCTATATAGGTAAATAAAGCAATAATTTATTTAAATACAAAATTTCAATCGTTATCCAAATCGTTGGAACTGTTTGCGAGATACACGAAATAAATTTATATTATAAGAATTACTCGTTTCATATAATAAAATATAATTGCTTCGCCTAAGGTTCGTAGTGTGTTGTTAGATAGACAGCTCTCAATAAATGTGCTAATTAGATATTTTCGAATTCGTTGTGCTTTGATTTGTATCAGCTGAAAATATCTGTTTAGGTATCTATAGTAAATGAAAACTACCAATCAGTTATTTTTTACTTTTTAGTGGGTTGTTTTTGAAGTCGGTTTTTATTTTTTAAAAGTTTTTATTTTTCTATTTTTTGTGTAGACATAGTAGCAAAATATATAAAAAATTTAGTAGGTGAAAAATCAATCATCACCTATTGTCTATACTTAGGGGTGGTATTTTTTTCCAAATTTAAATGGGACCAACTTTGAGATATACATTATCCAATGAAAAAAGAATCATCGAAATCAGACTATATTGTTCAAGATTACGCTTGGTGAAACATGAAAAAGAAAAAAAAGAAAATATACGTGACGAATTGACAACCTCCTTTTCTTCATCAGTTAAAAACAACATATTTAGCTTTGTAATCATATATTTTGAAAATATAGTTTAAATTATACTGTTTTTTTTAGATTTCAATTACAATCACTCTACAATTTTATGTGGCATTTATATAGAACGTTATGACTTCCTAATTTTTTGTTACACGCTGATTAATTATTATTATACAACATTTGCTAAATAGCAATTTGTAACGATTAATTTTATGTGGATGAGTAACAAATGTATATATTTGTTATGTACATTCTATTAAGTATACGAGTATTCGCTTATTTGTAAATGGATTTAATCTTATGCATAATAAAAGGCTTTCATTTAAATAATATAAAAATCGATCACATTCTTAAAATTTTCGTTGTATTAGCATTAAAATACAATGAAAAAGGTGTCAAAAAACTATGCCTACAGCTCTGCTATATAATGCTAAAAGTTAAAATAAAAAAACGATGGATTCAATTCGATAGAGATACAGAGAGAGAGAGAGAGAAAGAGAATCTAGTTATAATTTTAAACTTTGTCGCTTATTTTATCCATATTATAAAGATAATACTTACACAATTCCTTCTGACCGTTGAATAAATTTTTTAATTTGTATTTGTTTGCTGATAAACCCTCACATTTTATTTTAAAGTTTTTGATTGCTAAATGAGTTATCCCATCCTTCCCTTGTGCTTTCGTCAGTTCAAAGTCAATGGTTATTTTATATTTTCCTGAAAATAAATAAATCAATCAATGTCACGGCTTTCAACAAAGTTATGGTCTACAAACTAAAATGCTTCAACTATTGTAATATTTTACATATGGTAATGTATTAGAAGAAGAACAAAATTTTATTTTTTTGAGATATTATTAAATAACTTGCTATATAATATATATTAATATGCTAAATGCAGGTGAATGTTTTTTTTTGTTTTTCAGAAAACCCCTAGGCGTAATGTATTGTAGGATGTTCTCTCATTTAAGCCACAAAGACAAGATATTCTTTATGTATATCAGCAGATAAGAATTGTATCCATACAAAGGTAATGCGAAAGCACGACTTTACAAGAGATCGATATTACAGTATAACGAAAATTAATTTTAATATACGTATATTTATGTTTATTAAGTATGACTAGTGACATCCTCGCTTCGCTTGGGATCGTCCCTAGGTAGGTTTAAACTGTTAGTATGGAATAGGTAGAGTATATATTATGATGAGAAAATATGATTTCCCATATAAATTTTCATCCTCCTTTCACCACTAAGGGATGATTTCCGGAATTAAAACTATCCTACGTCTTTTCCAGGGTCTCAAACTATCTTCATACCAAATTTTATCTAAATCAGTTAAGCGAATTTTTAGTATACACATTACAAACAAACATACTAAAAACTAGTACTAGTACCGATAAATGAATATAAGTTTATTGAAATTGTAGAATTGTATAAAAGAGGATATCCATAAAGGATGAAAAAGGATGGAATCGATTATTACCACAAATACTCGTAATACAGATAATGAAATGTACTTACTGTGCCGAACTTATGTTGGTGAAATAAGGTCAAGGTTAAGAAAAAGTAAAATGAAATAAATATTTTTGTTATTTCTTTGTCACGCATTTTTATGGATATAATATAATAGATACACAATATGTCACCTGAGGGTGTTATGGAAAAAGAAAGGGAAAAGAAGGGGAAAAGAAGGAGGATCATAAATCAAACAGTGGGTGGACATCCAGCTCTCTCAATCACGGAACGTAACGACATATGACATAGACAATAAATTCAGTAATTATTTTTATATAACTTAACAATTATTTTTTTGTGAGAATCTTTTCTCTGTAAGATAAAAAAAGTCTCTGATTTTATTAAATGTATAGATTAGTAAGTATCATTTACCTGAAATAATGTTGTAACCACCATGTCCTTCTATATTTAGAACTATAAGACGTCCTTTAATATCATAGTCGCCCGCCAACGTTATTGAAGAACAATGTAGTTCTAATTGTGCAGCTGTTTCATCCTTGTTAACTCTGAAATATAAAAGATTTCATCAAAAACATAACATGTAAAACAAAGCAAATCTTGCAGCTCAGTTCTTCTACCGGAAAAAATTGTAAGATATACTATAAAACCAAGTTGGTTAATTTATTCAGTAGGTACCTATCTATGGAAATATCTATCCAACGCCTTTGTCAGAAATTGTTACTTAATTAGTTGCATAATAATAACATTTTATAGTAAACGTATCAATATTAGATATTTTTATTTCTTTAATAAATAGAATGAGTTCGCACACGTCAATAGAATCTACAAATAACAAAATTTACCTAATATTAGCGTTCTGAGCGCATAGGTACTAGTCTCTACGAGGTGTTTCCCAGTATCTAAAACTAATATTTATCTAGCTCTTTATAATTAACTAATTTTATTAAAATAATTCTTAACTTTATGATTTTTATTTCTTATAATATTACAAGTTTTTTATTTATACAATTTTTGAACGCATAATTTATCAATAGGATATACACAAAAATAAGAAGAGCTCTTGCCATGTTATACCAAGTAAGAATAACAAACTATTTTTGTGCATATAAATTATATTATAATTAATTGGTAACACGATACATTGCAAGCTAATACTAGTAGCGTTATTGAAACATTAGATTTGAGTTAGATTTTAAGTGGAATATATGTAACAACAGACAAAACTATTTTTAGTCGAAACTACTTTTCACTAAAGAGGTTGGTTAAAAATAGTTTTGACTAGAGTTTAATTTTTTTAGTTATGTAATAGGTCCGATTTGGATAACGTAAGTTGAGAAGGCTAAGGCGGGAGCTACGTCTTATTTGGAAAAACCCTTTCTTTCTTTCTAGGTTAGCGGCCGGCAAGTGACATAATTAACTTTTGCTAAAGTCAAAGCTCAACTATGCTTAGTGATATGGATAGCTTCTAAAGCATTATTTTTCCTAAAAGTTCTAGTCGTTTATGGCACTCGCCGGCCGAGTCAAAACTACTTTTGACTAACCTCTTTAGTCAACAGTAGTTTTGACTAAAAATAGTTTTAACTGTAACGTATACATTGTTTTATATAGTTATTTTAAACTTCATATACAACATAGCCATACATATACTTCTAGTTCAAACGGAATTTGAAAATGGTAGAAACTTAGCTTGTTGCGATTTTTCGTTCTATTTATTACACTTACTTGAAATTCTTTATTTCACAATTTTTATAGCCCTCAGCTGTACTGTTGTATAATGTATATTTTAGTTTGGATAAGTTGCCTTCAATTTTTTCTATGAATAGAGGGTCATGTTTTTTAAGAACCGTGATAATGATATCAGTAAAGCTTTGCGGGTCTGGATCTGAAATTGTAAAAAAAAACCTTAATAATAAATTCTTTATTCGGAATGTTTAAAGTACTTCTATTTTATAACTCACTTTCCTTAGTTGTATTTTAGACCATTTTTCACTCTTAATTAATGTTTAGAAAATGTATGAAAATCCACAGTCTTAAACATGAAAATGGAAAAATTTCATGATTATATATATACAAAGTATAGATATATTTTTTTAGCCTAAACTAATAAAAAATATAATTTACACCAATATCATACAAAAAAAGACACGTGGAGTTCTCGAATATTAGTATATTATAAGGCAGTGGTAGCCTAATGGTAACGCGCTCGCTTTGGAAACCGAGTGAAGCGAGTTCAAATCCGGGGTCACGCATCTCTGATTTCTTCAAGCGCGAATCATTTCCAACATGATTACCACTGGTCTTAATGGTGAAGAAAAACATCGTGAGGAAACCTGTATGTCTAAAAGAACCTAGCAAGTTTTTAAACGACATGTGAATTGTACAGATTCGACTTAGTTACAATTTTATTATATGTATAGATATAGTAAAGGAGTGCAGAATGCTATTTTTTTTTAATTATGCATAAAAAATACATTAAATCAATAAAAAAAATACTACAATGTATTTGACACACACACCTATATATACTCTTTTGTTTATTTTTAAAGTCTGTGATCAAATTGAGATTTTATAGGCTATCTATATAACTTTGAAGAAAAAAATAACCTCAATATCGATCGAACTTAATAAATTATGATTGATTTTCAACCACGAGGCGATCACTAGTTATATATAATTATGTAAAATTGAAAAAAAATTTGGCCGACACGAGACGCATGGCAGATGTGAAACATCTATGTCAATATTAATATTTCAATTATAATAATAATTACAGAATATATCTATATTCATAAATATAATAGAAATTATATAATATAATAGAAAATATGTATATTTTGATAGATACTTTTATTTACAATGGAGCTTGTATAATATACGCGCACACACACACAAGGGAATCAAGAGCGATGGCGTAGAAGGAGCATAATGGTATGTTAGTATCATGTCGTTTGCCGGCACGGCATATGATTTCGAAAATCAAGAAATAAATTAACTCTATCACGTACAAAAAAAACTACTATAATAAACTATTGCAGGTTCCTCAAATTAACGAATAAATTAACGGCTTTTATTATTGATTAGTTTTTATTTACAAAACTAATTGTACCTAGATATGTTAACATCTTGTGTACATATATGTATATACATAACATTTCATTTTAGCACGTTGATTTAACCGCTTTATGTTAATTAATATCAAGTACAACTTATGCTATTAAATATTCCAAGCAATAATTATAATTACATAAACGAAAATTAAGTATAAATTAAGATTTCTCAGAGATGTGATATTTTCACGCAGTAAAAAGTATCCTATATATTGACCCGGATAGCCAGCTATCATCATACTAAATTTCATCAAAATCTTTCCAGTGGTTTTCTGGTGATGCGTTCCCAGACAGACAGACAAACAGACAAAAATTCTATAAACTACAGATTCGGCCTTTATATCGATAATAATGACTATTTCAATAAGATTTTCAAAAAAATATTGAATGTACAGATTCGACTCAGTTAGAATTTTATTAATTATGTATATGATGATGTTCTCCTAGCCGATTCCGGCTACGGCGGCCAATCTCATTGAGACTAGCCAAATGCGCAGGAGATATTATAGTACTCAAGTGTACGCGCAGACACAAATGCACTCTCTATTCCTGTCACTCTCATACTCCGCTGGGACGACTGCTCGACACGACCAGTGAGAGTTAAGGCGCAGGACCGACGGCTTTACGTGCTCTCCAGTAATAATAACCAAAATTTGCTTTTTTTTTCATTTTATATAACGGTAAAAATACAACCGGGGCCTGAATGGAAAATCCCGGCAATAGTTAAACCATTTTTTTTTCGAAAAAAAGCGAAGACGCAAAGATAGCAGCATTAAGTACAGCATTATAATTATTAAATAATCTAAAATTTATCAAAGCTAGATTTATCAAGTGTTAAAAATAAACGGCGTAATCAATCATGGATAATATACGAGTCAAACGTCGTTGAAAAGAATGTATCGACCTACTCAAGACTCTATTTAATTTTATTTGTTCCATGTACCCGCAATTATACATATAAAATAAAACTTAGAGAATAATAAGAGGAAGTGTTTCAAATTCAACTTGCAAGATTGGAGCTACACAAACATACTAAGTAACAAACATTGCAAGTTAAATAAAAGCTTGTAATTAGTACACAAATAAATCTATCACCTACTTTAACATAATTATTATTTAATTAAAAGTTTCTTTTTAATTTTTATATTTCTTATATTAAATAATGTTCTAAAATAAATAGTCGACTCTTGCGACCTTTGGCTGCTGTCAAAATTCAACGTTCCGCTCAAAGGCCACTGATTTAAAAAACACAGAGATGATTCTAACATTAATATGATGAGTGGCCTTATGGGTATCTCGTAACTAGCATTTAAAGTTTCAATATGTGGAAGCACTTATGAGATTTGTTCTTCAGTCAAACCCCAATGGTTTACTTTGAAGGATACCTGAATACAGGTGACATAAATCTTTATCTATACATATGATAAAATTCTGACTGAGCTGAGTCTTTACATTAAATATTTTTTGGAATAGTCATTATTATCGATACTGAGGCCGAATCTATGGTTTTTGAAATTTTTGTCTGTCTGGAAACACAACACAAAAAACCACTGGAAGGATTTTGATGAAATTTAAATTTGTTATTGCTGGTTATCCAGGTCAACAAATAGGAGATAGTTTTTATTGCGGGAAAATATCTATCAGCTCTTAGAAAAACATAGAAAATTGTTTTCTATCATTTTATTAGCATTACTAGCAGTAGGTTCCTAAGGTCCCGCCAGTGTCCAAATAAATAATCAAACCGAAAAAAACAACTATTTCGCTTCAAAATAAGTAACGTATTAATAATATTATAATCTATTTCTATGCATAAAATAAAATGCTAACTGAGCAGAATCCGCACAAAATTTTTTTTGCAAAATTATTGTTGACATAGCCAATATTATCAGTAGAGACCAATCTAAGTTTTGAAAATATTGTTCTATCTGTCTAAGAGCTTATCACGAGATAACCACTGGACGCGTTTTCGTCCCTAGATTTCAAAATGTATTTTTAAAATAGTTATATTTAATTTGAATATTATTTTATCTACACATTTATGTAAAGATTTTGTACTTTCTACAATTTTATTAGAATTGTTAGAATTTTCTACGGCTCCACCTGTGTTTTTCAAATTAAAATATTTGTAAAATTTTGCTATCATTTAGTAAATAATGCTAATGTTAGTAAATCTTTAAATATAAAAATTAGGCAAATATAAAATCCAACTCGCATATCAACGGTTCGTTTCGGTCCGTTTATATGTAGGCGAGTACAACATAATTAAACGTAACATATTGTTAACTGAAAATATTATTCCATATCTCTAAGATATCGTAACATTAATATTCTGAAAAGTAATTTTCGTTAAAAGTATTTTGGAAGCTCTTTTACCCCAATTATTTAAATTATTCTGACACCATTTCTTGAAACTTGAAAGGTATCAACAATAACTTCTATCAACAATACTACTGTTGATCGAAGGTATATAAGGGACGTTTATTTTTTGACACTACAATACTTACGAGTTTGTACTTCTGTATCACTTACCCAATTTTTATATTTCAAGATGAGAACAAAAAATACAAAGATTTGACTAATAAATACATCTTTCCTTTATGTAATATTAATATCGATTTTTATTTATCGATAAGATTTTTGATAATTAATAAGTATAATTGATAATAATAAAAAAAATATACTGAAGATTAGTAAGGGATTTAGCAAAATACGTTTGAATTAAAGAAAACAAATTTTAATTTTAACTCACCCGCTAAAGCTCCACTGGAAAAACAAAGCACTGCTAATACGATGCAAAGCAACATGGTAGGTAATAGTGCAACCTCTAATGATTCAAAACTTATAATACAGTAAAAAGATCATCACTAACAAATTTATAATCTGCTACTTAATTATTATTCATTTTAATTTTTTATTCAGTATGTTATTAATTCAGTATAAAATTTTAATATTTTTAAAATTCTTTTAGTTGAAATAATACTAAGGATGAAATCAGAATAAATATTATTGGTTCGATGACTATTATTTAAGAAATAAAAAAAATATATACTTACGGTTTTAATTCGGGTTTTTTTTTTCAGTCTCTAGGGACCACAACTTAACGTGCATTGTTTTACCAATAGTGAAAAGTAGATATAGGATTTAGTTTTGAAACTGTCTACTCCACAATATTTCAAAGCCCCTGAAACAAAATAGCATTTGTTTATTTTTATATTCTCAGCACAATTAATGTTTTAAATTGACATTATTTTATTTTAATTCATTCCGGAGAAGAGAAATTAAAATTAGTAAACGTTTAATGACGTCACTTATATGATTCATTCGATTAAGATTTATTCTCTTTCCCTTAGCTATGAAGGTGGTTCATCTTGTTTTGATGTCATTAAGAAGTTGAACTTTACGAGGGCTAAGTAACATTAAAAACATATAAGCTATTAACGAGAAAATTTAATGGAAAATTAAAAAGATAACTAAAGCTTCAGTTCATTACTTTAAATCGTGCCATTTAGCATACAGTACCTGGGCGACCGAACTTCGTTTCCTCTTACACTTAAAGTACATACAGGAGCTCAAGCAAATATTTTAGTAGCTAGTAATTTATCTGTTTTAGGTTTAGATAAAAATAACCTTATTCAGTCAAAAGCTAGACTTGCAACATATACAGGTCAGCCAATCAAATGCATAGGCAAGTGCTCCTTGCGTATAAAATACGAAGGTAAAAATTACTTACTTGACTTTTTTGTAGTAGATGCAAATAAAACGTGCAATATTTTAGGATTAGAATCTGCTATTAAAATGGGATTAGTTAATCCTGTATATAAAATTAATGAAGCTAATTTCACTTTAAAGTATGACGATTTATTTCATGGCTTAGGTTGTATGAAAGGTGAATATGATATAAAATTGAAACCTAATGTCTCACCTGTTGTACATGCGAGTAGAAGAGTTCCACTTGCAATAAAACCTCTTTTAAAAAATAAATTAGATGAAATAGAGAATTTAGATGTCATACGTAAAGTAACGCATCTAACTGATAGGGTAAACTCCTTGGTCATCGTTTACAAACCTAATGGGGATTTAAGGCTTGGTCTAGATCCTAAAGATCTGAATAATGCAATACAAAGACAACATTTTGAATAACCAACGTTAGACGAAATTACTAGCAAATTGCCAGGTGCGTCATTATTCAGTACTTTAGATGTGAAAAATGGTGTTTGTAACATAAAATTGACGTCAGAAAGTTCTGATTTATGCTGTTTTAATACACCATTTGGTAGATATAAATTTCTGAGAATGCCCTTTGGGCTATGTAGTGCTTCAGAAGTTTATCAGCATAGAATGCGTCAAATATTAGAAGATTTAATTATGTTTCCTGAATAACATTTTAAGTTTTTAAGTTACTTATTTAATTTTGTTATTTGTTTTCAATATACTGTTTAATTTAGTTTAAAAAGGGAGATGTTGTATTAGTTTATTTTATATTTTTATAAGACATATACAAACTTTATGTTGTTACTATAAATTAGAGGAAACATAAGACAATGACATTACAAGATGAATTCTCAAGCTATCATGTAGTTTTATTTTAATTAATATAATATTAATTTAATATAACAGACTTTTGAAAAATTAAATAATTATGCAAGTATTTTCGTGATAATCAATACTGTGTACGTGATATGATGATAATGATAAATTATATATTATTTTTCTAATTATTCTTATATTTACCAAACATTTGACAACATCTTTTCCATTCTTCTTCTTTCTTCTCTATTTACCTCTACTCTAGGGTACTAAAATCCAAAAATTACCTCCTGTACAGATACGATAAATAAAATTGACATGAAAATGCACGAACCCCTAATAATTTAGTTCGTTTATTTTTACTGAGTTACCATGTAATTTGTGATGCTGGTATATATTATACTTTTTGTTAATAAAATGCATAATAATAAAGTCTATTTTGAAAATTTATGTTAATAGGTCCTCATATTTACATAAGTTTCTTTGTTTCTAGAATGTTTGTTAACTACATTTTTATTAAATGCTTGATGATAAAATAATTACGACGCATTTTAAATAAAACTATCTATTCGGATTTTGGAACTATCTTTTCGGAATCATGGTCACGGGAGTCTCTCCCGTGACCATAATTGATGTAAATCTTTCGAAACGTCAGAAACCAAAAATCAAAGTAAATCGAAACCGAAAAAGAAAGAAACCCGAAAAGATAGTTTTGTTTAAAATGTCAAATATTCGCGTAAATCTAAGAAAGTATTATAATAACGACTCGTTATATCGTTAAGCTGTCTGAGGTCGTGTTTGGTCGCACTTCTCAACTCAAAAATCTTTATAATGCAACTCTATTATAGGGGTTATATAATGTTTTTGGTATTCATTAATATTAATGATGATTTATTGAAGTCGATAAAAAAGCTCACATCATTGGTAATTGGGAAGTATTACCAAAATGTAAAATCATATAGAATTTTGTAGGGGTCTACGTAAGCCCCCCCAACGTGCGTTCACCTTGTCGTGGTGGGGGGCTCAGTAGTAGTAGCGAAGCTAAGAAACGCACAGGGAGGTTGCCCACTTCGGTGGGCGGTGGGAGGTGGCCCTCTTCGGGGGGCGGTGTACCTTGCGGGTTGCTCCTGGTACTTCTCTGATAGCAGAGTGGACCTTGAAGCAACCCCATGGTTGTGGTGGTCTACTTTGGTAGACCTGCCGTCGGGGCGTCGTAGTTGAATGCGTAAGCGATCCTGCGACGCCCCATTAAGACGGGGGAAGGTTTTGTTGGGTTTTAGTGGGTAGTACTGGCTGTATTACGCCGGTGAGTCCCACACGTCGTGCGTAAATGCATTTCCCGACATTAAAAAAAAAGCGGTCTTCGTAAAGTGAGATGGGGTTAGTAGTTTCGCATAAAATAGGCTATTAAATATTTCTTTATTTTTGTTCTGCTTCTTTGTCTTGACTTGAAGTAGAAGAAAAATAAAAGAAAGAAAATAAGTACTTTCGATATAATGGCATATTATTCTCTCATAAAGGTGTTCAGAAACAAAGTTTCTTGATTTTTTTGATCCTTTGGATAGCAAAGCGTGTATTAAAGTTGTATTCGTTTAAATTTTTATTATTAGGTATATGTAGAAGATAAAACCTGATTTCATCATTGTCCAAACCATCATCTCTAATTCAGTGCAGCAATTTGACATGATGTAATTTCTTAGATATAATAATGACTAGGTTAACATATCAACCAGCTAAGCAGTCAAAAGGTGGAACTATTGACTTATATACATAGCTGCATAATTTTATCCGGTTTGGAGCAAGGAGTACATCAGAACGTATTCCTTTTTCAATGTCTAATTCTATTGAGAGTTTGTGGAAACTGGATTGTAGTTCCCAATTCCGAGCAAGATCGGTGTAAACATTTACCATCAATCAATACAAACTTCACACAAAGAAAGTTTTGATCTTATAATCTCTAGTTATGCTATTTAAACACTCATTTTCTTGTATTGAGGACTTTCAATGAACTTAATTATATTATACTAGCGGCTCACCCTCGCTTCGCTCGGGTTCGCCTCTAGAAAAACACTAATAGAGATCTATTGGTTCCCACGGGAACCGTTCATTTTTCCGGGATGAAAGGTAACTTGTTGTTTGACCAGCAATATAAGGTATCAGAATGATAAATTTTACTAAATTAGGTGCATAAGTTGTTGTGTACTAAGCTGTATAAGATACTATGGTTTTTTAACTATCCCACGGGAACTCTTTAATTTTCTGGGATGAAAAGTATTTAAGATGTTGACCAGGGATATGAGGTACCACCATGCAAAATTTCATTTAAATCGGTCCAACAGTTTCAGAGATTAGCCCGTACAAACAAACAAACAGAGAAACAAAAAATTTGAAAAAAATCTGGATTTGTTCTATTTGTCTTCTTACATCCCCCTGACTCAGTTTTTAGCATTTTTTGCTATGTACAGACATTCGACCTCTACTGTTTTATTATAGTATAGATAGAATAGATATTGAAAATAAGATATTAAAAAATATGGAAATGTATAATCATATTCCTTTAATACATATTAAGAAATAAATGCCTTTCTTAAAACGATATAAAACTCTTAAATAAAGAAATATGAATTAATCTTTATTCAGTAAAAACATAAACTTGTGTAGATGTAAAATATATTTAAAATATTAGAATTAAATTATTTAATTCGTAAAAACCAAACACCAGTTCCTGGTAAGCAATCACACTTTTAGGAGGAGACTGCACGAATTTAACCTTCATGCTCGTAGACCACTTCGGATTCCAGCACTTCGACATTGAGCATGCATGGGATATGCTTTAACAAATGGCTTTACGTAATTTCCTGAAAATCTGATGACTGACAGTGAACTTTTCATGCATTTTCGTGGAACCTGGGACCTCATCCCACAAGGAGATATTGATAACCTCATTTTGAGCATGAATAATAGTTGTAGATGCGTTATAAACATCCGAGTTGCATTTACACTTTCTTTTTAATACTAAATTTAATATTTCATTCAATTTTGTTTCGTTAAACACAGTAAGTCTTATTTTGATACAGAGATTACTTTTGTTTATTTTTATTAAAATGATCCTTTAAAAAACAAACCTCAGATATTTATTTAATTTCCTGTTAGGGTATAAAATACTGCGTATTTACATATAAGGATGCTTTAAGACATTTTTGTAGTTTCTTTTTAATTCATAAATAACTAAAATCTCCCTAGATTGTATTTATGTACTTATATACACGTAACGAGACTCGAAGAAAATATACCCAAAACATGTGTCTCGGACTGCAAATTTTATATAATATCTGTACATCAGTTCATGTACATGTATATATTTGTTTTTAAAACAACAGCTCTTACGTATTGTGTACAGAATATAGACCCTAAAACCATAAGTGTTAAAATTTTGTCTGTCCGTCTGCATCTCTGTATAGTCTGTTTGTCTGTAGACTATATCTGTTTGCTTTTACGCAAAAAAAGGAATGGATTTTACTTCATATTGTGTAGCGCTCACTTTATGGCGCACTCATTGCTGAGTTTAACATTTATCATACCTTTTACTTCAGGTAAATCTCTCATTCCTACAGAAAAACGCAATAACTGGTTTCAATGGAAATTATAGCCAATCAAATTACACAATTAACATATTTAATGATTTAGTGCGGTAAAATTATTAATTTCTAGGGAAAATACAAAATTTTATCTACAAATATATTTACATGATGTCCTCCCGACCGACTGGTGATGTTATGAGGCGAACGGATGAGGTGAGGGCAAGAGGGTAAAACACCGCCAACTTCCCAATTCCGGACTGTCACTGGGACTGTCTTAACAGAAAGACTTAATAACTAAACTTTTCATGACCTGGGACTCGAACCCAGAACCTCCAGATGTGCAGCCGTACATGCTAGCTATTCAGTTGCAGTTATTATATCTATATCTATACGTATTATAAAACAAAGTCGCTGTCTGCCTCTATCTGTTTCTCTGCTTACTTCGAATTGTGGTATAGAATACACAACAGATTTTGAAACAGTTTTCAATAATAGAAAGAGAGATAAATGAGGAAGATTTATTTACATAATTTATAAATATTTCTTACATGATAGATGAGCTAAGACGATGTTTATCAAAATAACTGGTTTTGTTTCGGCAAACGCTGCTTTAACCTTAAGAGATATATCAAAACAATATACTATCTCCTAAGGTATACTCAAAATATATATTTTTTCTATTTAGAAATATAACTGGTGGCCAAAAAAGAAAAATATAAGTAAAACGCCGAAAATAATCATTTATTTATTATATAGCTTTTTTTTATAATACACAATCCATATTTGTTCCAGAATAATTTGAGACTGTTAGTTTTTAATAACGATGAGTATATAACATGTAAGATTTAAAATGCTTAATATTCATATTATTCGAGAAAGATAGCGGGGAAATGTAGCTAGCATTCTTGCCACAAATCCACACGGTCATGATTTGGATCGTGAATACTAAGTAAAATTATATTAAGAATATATTTGTTAATATACAAATTTAAATATATATTTAGATAATTATTATATTATTATATTAAATAAAAATTACTGTATTTATTTTATTTTCTTGGAAATAAAGGATAATACAGGTAAAGAAACTTCAAATTTATAATATATATGTACATAACATTTAAGATAAATTCGATGGCAAAAAAAGCAAAGTGTTTCGAGAGAAAAGGAAGATTTTTACGAAGTTATTTATTATGTATTCTTTATTAGGTACGCTGTAAAGACAAGTAATAATAAATACACAGAAACTGTCGTGGACTTACCTCTAAAAGAAATTCAAGCTATTATCTTAGTAGTGGCGACATTTAAAAGTTCTCTGAAGCTTATTAAAAAGTATTTTCTACAATGTATTCATTCATCTGAGAGTCACTTCGCACTTTTTATTATATTAAAATACTTAAAGATTAAGTACCTACGCAAGTTTACTTTACTACAATCAGAAATTTGCACACTGTACTGATTAGTTTAGTAATTTTGTGCTGATTTTTCTATATACGCAAGAAGAACAAAAGTATAAAAGTACATAGAAATACAAAAGAAAATTCTACAGCAGATTATTTTAGAACTATATTTTCTAATGGCACATCCTTGAGATAATCGTTTGTATGGAGTATGACTTTTTTTATTATAGCGGTCCACGCCGGTTCCTCCACAAATGAGTCAACTTCTTTCCAGTTGTCATCAATAAATTTATCTAAGGCATCCGCTGTAAAATATTAGTATATATAAATAATTAGCTTTTGCCTGCGCCCTCACTTGATTAGTTTATTTTTATAGGACCGGAGTGACGCGGCGTTTTGCGGTAACATATAAAAATACTCCTTCTTTCACGTCGAAACAGAGTAGCAAAACAAGAAGAAAGCATATTAAAAATTCAGTAAGTGAAAAATCAATCATCGCCTATTTTCTATACTTAATTTTTTTTATTTAAATGGGAACAACTGTGAGGTCTATTAATGCTAAAAGTTAAAATAAAAACGTGGTGGACTCAATTCGATGAAGAGAGAGAACCTAATAATAATTTTTAAGTTTGTCGCTTATTTTTGTTCATATTATAAAAATAATACTTACACAATTCCTTCTGACCGTTAAATAAATTTTTAAAGTTGTATTTGTTTGCCGATAAACCCTCACATTTTATTTTAAAGTTTTTGATTGCTAAATGAGTTTTCCCATCCTTCCCTTGTGCTTTCGTCAGTTCAAAGTCAATGGTTATTTTATATTTTCCTGAAAATAAATAAATAAATCAATGTTAAGGCTTCCAACAAATTCACGGTCTCCCAACTAAAATGCTGCAACTACTGTAATATTTACTATATATGTAGTAATATATTGGAAGAAGTACAAAAGTTTATTTTTCTCAGATATTGTTTAATAAATTGCTATGATGTTCTCCTGACCGATTCCGGCCACGGCGGCCAATCTCATTGAGACTAGCCAACTGTACAGGAGATATTATAGTGCACAAGTGTACACGCAGACGCAAGTACACTCTCTATTCCTGTCACTCTCATACTCCGGTGGGACGACTACTCGACACGACCGGTGAGAGTTAAGGCGCAGGACCAACGGCTTTACGTGCTCTCCGAGGCACAGGGGTGAAACACCGCCAACTTCTCAACTCCGGGCTGTTACTGAGGCTTACTATACAGAAATACCCGATAACTAAACTTGGCCCGACCCAGGACTGGAATCCAGGACCTCCGGGTGTACAACCGTACATGCTAGCCACTATACCACCGAGGCAGTTAGCAAATTGCTATATAACAATATCAAAAAGTCCGTGACTTGCAGATTGTAGTCATAATAAGATATTAAGGTGTGGGTATTCTAATAGTAAAACTTCCTTTTGAGACTTTTATTGTTAATTAGGTTATTTTAATAACTTCTATACCTAAGAATTCTTTTAACAAAGATCCCACCGCTGTCACTATGTAGTAAAACGACACAATATACTAGTTGCCAACTGATTTATTTATTAAAATACCCATACCTTAATATCTTAATATCACTTGTTTTGTCGATGTTTTTTTTTTCTAGGCGTAAACAGTTATAGAATAATCTCTCACTTAAGCCATAAAGACAAGATATTCTTTATATACACCAGCAGCTAAGAATTATATAAATAAAAAGGTAATGCGAAAGCACGAGTTCACAAGAGATCGATAATACATTTAACGTTACCTTACCAAACAACATTGACTCTGCGTCAAATCAATAAATTAAAAAAAATATGAAAAATGGGTGCCTCATGATTTGACTGATCTGCAGAAACGCGTGTTGAAATTTGTGTTGCCTTGTTGAATCGATACAGAAATGAAGGAATATTGGATCGAATTGTGACATGTGATGAAAAGTAGATTCTTTACGATAACCATAAGCGAAAAATGCAATGGCTGACCCGAGGTCAAACGCCGCAACAGTGTCCTAAAGCAAATCTTACCAATAAAAAGGTAATGGTAACTGTTTGGTGGTCTCAGCATGGTGTTATTCACTATAGCTTTCTCCGAACTGGTCAAGAATATTAGATCAATGAAAGTATAGTACTGTATAAAAGAAGATATCCATAAAGGATGCAAAAGGATGGAATCAAATATTTCGACAAAATACTTGTAATACAGATGAATGAAATAAATTTACTATGCCGAACTATTGTAGGTGGAATAAGGTCAAGATAAAGAAAAAGTAAAGTGAAATAAATATTTTTATTATTTCTGTATCAGGCAATTTTTTTAATGTAATATAATAAATACACATGTTACCTGAGGCTATTACGGAAAAAGAAGGGGAAAAGAAGAAGGATCAGGATAGAATCTTTTATCTTTAAGGTATAAAAAGTCTATTATATTAGTATATATTACATTAAAATATAGATTAATAAGAATCATTTACCTGAAATAATGCTGTAACCACCATGTCCTTCTACATTTAGAGCTATAAGACGTCCATTGGTATCATAGTCGCCCATCAACGTTATTGAAGAACAATGTAGTTCGAGTTGTACTGCTGTTTCATCCTTATTAGCTCTGAAATATTAAAGAGTCTATCAAAAATATTACATGTAAAAAAATGGGAGTCTCGTATTACAGTTTTTCTACCGCAAAAATTTGTGAGATATAATGTAAAACCAAGTCGGTTAAGTTATTCATGGAAGTTATCTATCGAACAACTTTGTCATAAATTGTTACCTATTAGTTACATAATAACAACATTTTATAGTGACCGTATCAATATTAGATATATTTATTTCTTTAATAAATAGAATTTCTTCGCCATCGCACACGTCAATAAAATCTACAAATAACAAAATATACCTAATATTAGTGATCTGAGCGCATTAATTAGCCCGTAATTGACTCGCTAGCGCTACAGTCAATTACGGGCTATTTAAAATAGTAGATTATTCTCTTATGTGATTGTTTCCGTTTGATGGTCATTCTAGTTTTTTTGCTCGATTTGGCAGGGTCACTGCCGTGCCCCCAAATTAACAATAAGATATCTCAATGACGATCTGTGATGTATTGGAAACTTAAATATTGCATGTATAACGAGTACTAGTCTCTAGGATGTTTTCCCACCATCTAGAACTAATTTTTATCTTAAAAAGCTGGTTGTTTATAATTATCTATTTTAAAATATTGCTTAACTTTATGATTTTTTTTCTTATATGACAAGCTTTTTATTCATGCAACGTACGAACACATAATTTCTCAATAGGACACAAAAATAAGCAGAGCTGTTGCCATGTTATACTAAGAAAGAATATAAAAATATTTTTGTATGTATAAAGTTAGTAGTTTTATATTTTTAATATATATTATAACTAGCATTGCCCGCGACCCCGCCCGCGCTTAGATGACCAAAAACCTAATTCTTAGGATTTACATTTTAGTATGCATTTACAAAGCAGTTTTTGTATTTTTTCTCAGAAATGAGACATTTTCCCGCGGTATAAAGTATCCTATATGTTGACCCGGATAACCAGCTAACACCATATCAAACTTCATCAAAAACCCTCTAGTGGTTTTTTGTGATGCGGTAACAGACACACAGAGAAAAGTTCTAAAAACTATAGATTCGGGCTCTGTATCGATAATAATGTACATTTCAATAAGATTTTCCAAAAAATATTTACTGTACAGATTCGGCTGGCTTACAATTTTATTATATGTATAGATTAATTGGTATTTAGGTTAAATTGCAAGCTGATAATATTAATTGAAACATTAGACTTGAGTTAGACTTTAAACGGAATATACATAGTTTCATGTAACTTTTTCAAACGTGAAAATACGAGTTAGTTTTAGAAACTCGTACTTTGTATATGACTTTGTTTCCTATAAAAAAAATTAACACTTTTACATATAGTTCAAACGCATTTTGTGAAAATAGTACCAACTCAATTTGTTGCGATTTTTCTTTCACTTACTTAAAATTCTTTATTTCACAATTTTTAGAGCCAACAATCGTAGAGTTGTATAATGTATATTTTAGTGTGGATAAGTTGCCCTCAATTTTTTCCACGAATAAAGGGTCATGCTCTTTAAGAACTGTAAAAACCATATCAGGAAAGCTTTGCTGGTCTGGATCTGAAATTGAAGAAAGATCTTTAATGAATCCTTTATTCGGAATTCAATATTTTTTAATCGTTTTTATAAATCAGAAAAAAATGAGATGAGTCACCCCTATCACCTCCTTAACATAACTAACATGTTTTTACTTCAATATTAATGAAACGATGATAGAAAATTGCATAGAAACTTTAATCTTTTGTTTAGCACCCTCTGGAATAAGAAATATATGGGGTGAGGAAGCACCTTTTATTGATAATATTAATTTTAAGATTTTTGATAATTAGTACAATTGATAATGATAAAAAAATAAAATATACTGAAGATTAAAAAGGAATTTGACTAAGTTTGTTTGAATTAATGAAAAAATATTTCAATTTTAACTCACTCGCTAAAGCTCTACAGCAAAAACAAAGCACTGCCAAAACGATGGAAAGGAACATGGTAATAATGTAACCTCTGCTGATTCAAAACTTATAATACAGTAAAGAGATCATCACTCACAAATTTATAATCTAATTAAGACTAATTATTATTCATTTTAACTTTTTGTTATGTGTTCAGTATAATATAATTTATGTTACTAGGCTGTCATATTCTGATAAAATCTTTGTTCTCATATAAAATTTCAAGAATATTTATTAACTACATTTTTTTTATTAAATGCTTCATGATAAAAAAAAATCGGATTCTCTCCCGTGAGTCTCGGGAGTCTCTCCCGTGACCATGATTGATGTTAATCATTCGAAACGTCGGGAACCAAAAATCAAAATAAATCCGCGAAAAAAATCCGAAAAGATAGTTTTGTTTAAAATGTCAAATAGTCGCGTAAATCTAGGAAAGTATTTTAATTACGACTTGTTAAATTTCGGTTGCACTTCTCAACTCAAGAATCTTTAGAATGCAAGCGCATTATACTGGTCATATAATGTTTTTTGTGTTAATTTATATTAATTATGATTTATTCAAGTGGATATAATATTAAAAAAAATACATTTAAGAAAGGTTGCATCAGTGGTAATTGGGAAATATTACCAAAATGAAAAAATATACTAAGGTTTGTAAAGGTCTAGGTAAAGAGAGATTGGGTCACTAGTTTGGCTTTTAAATAAAGTATAGGAAGAAAGATAAGAGAAATGATGTAATATGTAATAATATAAATGATAATAAAATGAGTACTTTCGATATAATGACATATTTACCTCTCAGAATGTATGTTCAGAAACAACGTTTCTTGATTTTTTGTCCTTTTGATAGAAAAGCTTGTATTAAAATAGTCTTCTATTACATTTCAATCATTATTATGTCAAAGATAAAACCTGATTTCACAATTTTCCAAACCATCATCCCTAACTCAGTACATGAATTTTATATGTTGTAATTTCTTAGATATAATAATGACTGCGTAATCAAATCACCCCGCTAAGCAGAAAAAGGTGGAATGGCTTATATCTATATATATAATAAAACTGTAGAGGTTGAAGGTCTGTACATAGAAAAAAAGTTAAAAACCGAGTCAGGGAGGTGTAAAAAGAGAAATAGAACAAATCCAGTTTTTTTTTTCAATTTTTTTTGTTTCTCTGTCTGTTTGTCCGGGCTAATCTTCGAAACTATTGGACCAATTTAAATGAAATTTTGCATAGTAGTACGTTGCATCCGCGGTCAACATTTTAGATACTTTGCCAGCCGACAATATTTTAAAATATGAACATCTAATAGGTAAATATATATTTTACGTATGGAAATACATTAGATTTGCTTTGCATCGGCTGGCACCGACTTCAAAAATATCTGATTAGGTATCTACTCTAAATGAAAACCTCCGTTTAGTTATTTTTTATATTGTACTGCCTGGGAGTCGGTTTTTATTTTTTGTTAAAAAGATTTTATTTATATTAAAATTGCTTTCGGTCAAATTAAAAAGTAATCAGGAGATCAAATATCTGTGGCCTCATCTGGAAATGCTACTCCACATTTAGAAGATGGTAAAACGGCTTACGCTACGTTTAAACTCCCGTTCAATCTCACCCGAGTTAAATTCCACATACGAAATATATTTAAATAGTGTAATATGTTACACTATTTAAATATATCAATTATATACTATTTAAATAGCTCAAGTTCTCTGAAAGTGCTAACTTACTGAGTGAGGTATAAAATAGAGTTCGGCGATTATTCCGAACCCAAGGAAACATTAAGGACAAATACTTGGCTGGTCACAGCAGTGACAACTATAACATACCTAGAGCCTAGCCAGAGTGTACCTTGATGTTTCTAATAGGTATTAGCACAAAGTAAGTCTTGGTTTAGCTTTGTGAACGTGCTATACTGACCCCCAAAAACAACAGTGCTACTGCTTTTAATAAAGTCCTGCTTAAGTCCTTTGAAGGGTCAGAAATATAATAAAGGTCTGTCGATTCAGTAATGTAAATGGATGAAGCAGTTCATTATTATGTGAAGTTTCTTATCAGTGCTAGCCCACCAGACCTCCTTTCTTAAAAACTCCTCCTGAAATTTGGTGAATCTGTAATGAATAAGCCACCTAAGCTTTGTAACGCAAAGAGACTGCGAGTTATCCATAAATCATTATAGTGGCCACTGTATTTGCTGGGTGTGCTCGGAGTCAGGGAAAATCAGTATTCATACCTCGAATAGCACTGATAACTTGTGACTACGTCTTCGAATTTAATCTATTGTATTGTATTCCTTAAAATTTGCTTTGCATTGACCATTAAAAAATCTCAGGTTAAGCCAGTTAAAAGTAGAAAGCACGTGGACATTTTAGCAGAACTCAGAACCAGTCAGAACACTCACCAATGTGGTATACAAAGAACTTAATTTAATTCTAACTTCCAGTTCGCGCCTTTTTAGCGTAGACTAAGTAAACTGAATCTAGAGTAATTCCATAAATGTACATTATGACAAATTCGATATAAGAACATATAAATTCAATGGGGAGATTTTATGCTTATGCATAATAATGCCCACACACACGGCTCGAGTGGCAACTCAGTAGCTACATCAACATAATACGGCAACTCTGGACTGACCCGCGCTGTCTCCAGATTTAAATCCGATTGTGCATGCATGGGATATGCTTCAACAAAGGGCATTACGTAATTTTCCCGAAAATCTGATGACTGACTCACAGTGAACTTTTCTTGCATCTTCGTCGAACCTGGAACCTTATTCCACAAGGAGATATTGGTAGTCTCATTTTGAGCATGAAAAATCGTTGCAGATGTGGTATAAAAATTGAATGTTTCATTTCATTTTGTTTCGTACTTTAATCACCAAATACAGTAAGCCTTATTTTAGTACAGTGACAACTTTTGTTTATTTTTGCTAAAGTAATCCTTTAAAAATCAATTCTCAGATCTCTATTTAATTTCTCGTTAGGGTATAAAATACGGCGCATTTTCATATTAGGATGCTTTAAGAAATTCTTTGTGATTTCATTTCAATTCATGATTAACTAAAATATTCCTAGATTGTGTTGATGTGCATATGTATATATATGTACACGTAAGAAGACTCGCAGAAAGTATAACTAAAACATGCGTCTCCGACTGCAAATTTTTATGTATCTGTACATCTGTTCATCTGTTTATGTTCATGTTTTTTTAAACAACGACTGTTCCATATTGTGTATAGAATATAAACCCCAAAACCATACTGGTTCAAATTTTTGTCTGTCTGTCTGCAACTCTGTATGGTCTGTTTGTCTGTATCTGTTTACTTTTTACGCAATAAGTATTGGATGGATTTTACTTCTTTTTGTGTAGTGCTCACTTATTACTGGGTTTAACATTTAGCATACCTTTTACTGCAGGTAAATCTTTCATTCCTACAAGAAAACATCATAATTGGTTTCAATATAAACAACAAAATTTTATGTAAAAAACCAATTTCTCTTGTAGAATACACAACAGATTTTGATACGGTTTTTAATAGTAGAAAGAGTGATAAACGAATTTTGTCTATATAATTTGTAAATATTTCTTACATATAGCGCTGCCTAAACCTTAAGAGATACATCGAATCAATATACCTACTGATAAATTGTAGGTCTTAAAAAGTCCTGCAGATAATCCCGCAGTACCATACGCCTGCCTCCTAAGGTATACTCAAAATTATTATTTGATCTATTTAGAACGGACGCACCTGAGCGAAACGAGGGTAAGTTACTAGTTATGTATATAACTGGTAGATATAAAAAGAAAAAAATTAGTAAAAAGCCGAAAATAGTCATTTATTTATGATATACATAGATTTTTTATAATACACAATCCTTAAACCATACTTGTTCTAGAATAATTTGAGTTTGTTAGTTTTTAATAACAATGAGATTAAGATTTAAAATTAAAGATTGAGCGCTGAAATATTCATACTATTCGAGAGAGACAGCGGGAAAAATACACAGAAACTGTTGTTGAAAAGTAAAGTGAACATATATATATATATACATATATATATATACATATATATATATACACTATGTATACCTACGATGAAATAAAAGTAAGATTATCTACAGTGTATTCATTCGTCTGAGAATGACTTCCTATTTTTTATTATATTAAAATACTTAAAGATTAAGTAAGTAACTTCACTTTTCTAGAATCAGAAATTAATTTTTGCCAACACATTTTTTCCATACACGTAAGAAGAACACAAGTACAAAGAAGTACAAAAGAATATTCTACAGCAGATTACTTTAGAACAATTTTTTCTAATGGCACCCCCTTGAGATAATCGTTTATGTAGCGTATGACTTCCTTTATTGCAGCAGTCCACGCCGGTTCCTGCAAAAACGAGCCAACTTCTTTCCAGTTTTCATGAGCGAATTTATGTACGGCATCCGCTGTAAAATATTAGTACTTATAAATAATTGGCTTTTGCACTTGCTTAGTTTATTTTTATAGGACCTGGACAACCGGGCGTTTTTCAGTATTTATATAAAAATAGTATATTGTCAGAAAGGGCACCTATGTAGGTAAATAAAGCAATACCTTATCTAAAAAGGTATATTTAATCCAAATCGTTAGAACCGTTTCCGAGATACAGGTATACTATAACTTAATTATAATTTTAAAGTGTGTCGCTTATTTTTGTTCATATTATAAAAATAATACTTACACAATTCCTTCTGGCCGTTGAATAAATTTTTAAATTCGTATTTGTTTGCTGATAAACCCTCACATTTTATTTTGAAGTTTTTGATTACCAAATGATTTTTCCCATCCTTCCCTTGTGCTTTCTTCAGTTCGACATCAATGTTTACTTTATATTTTCCTTAAAATAAATAAATCAATCAATGTCACGGCTTTGTTAGTTATGGTCTACAAACTAAAATGCTTCAACTATTGTAATATTTTACATATGGTAATGTATTAGAAGACGTACAAAATTTTATTTTTTGAGATATTATAATTTTAATAAATTGCTATATACCAATATCTAAAAGTCCTTGACTTGCAGATTGTAGTCATAATAATATATTAATGTGTGGGTATTCTAATAGTAAAACTTCTTTTTGAGACTTTTTTCGTTAATTAGGTTGTTTTATATATGTTGTTGTTAAATATGCTAAATGCAGATGAATGGTTTTTTTTGTTTTCTAGGCGTAATGTATTGTAGAATGTTCTCCCATTTAAGCCATAAAGATAAGATATTCTTTATGTATACCAGCAGATAAGAATTATATAAATACAAAGGTAATGCGAAAGCACGACTGTACAAGAGATCGACATAACAGTATAGCAAAAATTAATTTTAATATCTATTTTATCGTGATTTATCGCGACTCACACTCGCTTCGCTCGGGGTCGTTCCTAGGTACGTTTCAACGACTAGTATGCCATAGATACACTATGTATTTTGATGAGAAATAATTGATTCGTCATATAAATTTTCATCCCCCTTTCACTCCCCTAAGGAATGATTTCCGGGATAAAAACCCTATGTCCTTCCCAGGGTCTCAATCTATCTTCAAATTTTATCTAAATTGGTTCAGCGAATTTTTAGTATATCCATTACAAGCAAACATACAAGAAAACGTAGTACTTATAGACGAATATTAGATCAATGAAAGTATAGAACTGTATAAAAGAGGATGTCCATAAAGAATGAAAAAGGATGGAATCAAATATTACTACAAGTACTCGTAATATATATGAATGAATTGTACTTACTGTGCCGAACTAATGTAGGTGGAATAAGGTCAATATAGAGAAAAAGTAAGATGAAATAAATATTTTTGTTATTTCTTTATCAAGTATTTTTATGGATTTAATATAATTAAAACACATGTTACCTAAGGATGTTACGGAAGTAGAAGGGGAAAAGAAGGAGGATCAGAAATGAGACGGTGGGATGACATCTAGCGCTCTCAATCACCGAACGAAACGATATATGACATAGACACATGACAACAATTTCAGTAATTGTTCTTTCTATTATTTAACAGTTAGTTTTTTGTAAGAATCTTTTCTCTGTTAGATACATAAAAACTTTTTAACAAAAAAATAAAAACCGACTTCAAACAAAAGCACTAAAAAGTAAAAAATAACTGATTGGTAGTTTTCATTTACTATACATACCTAATCAAATATTTTCGAAGTCGGTGTGCTTTGCTTTGTATGGGCTGGCACCGATTTCGAAAATATTTGATTAGGTATGTATTTAATAGGTAGGCTCTAATTACTTAGCCAAAGCACACCGACTTCAAAAATATTTGATTAGGTATGTATAGTAAATGAAAACTACCAATCAGTTATTTTTTACTTTTTAGTGCTTTTGCTTGAAGTCGGTTTTTATTTTTTTGTTAAAAAGTTTTTATTTTTCCCTTTTTAGTGTAGACAGTAGTAGCAAAGTAAGAATTCTAAAGTATTAGGCTTGTCAAATCAAACAAAATAAGCCCAAACTCAAAGTATCTGCTTTTAGTCGTTGAAGAGTTCCACCTATCCACCTTCTGGCCTTACCATCAGATCAGGTCAACAATACCTAACCACTGTAGTATCAACGGAAATAGAAACACTTGCAAAGTTTCAAGTAAATATGACAATTAGAAGTAGGTTAAATTCATCATTAGCTATTTTTCCACCCTTAGGGGTAGTATTTGTTTTTGAAATTTAAAGGGGACCAATCTGGAAGTATACCCTTTCAAACAACACAAAAATTGTCCAAATCGGTTAATAAATAACGGAGTTCTAAGGTAACAAACATAAAAAAAAAATACAGTCGAATGGAGGACCTCCTCCTTTTTGAAGTCGGTTGAAAACGCCTATAATTTTATTATATTTATAGATTTAGTAAGCATCATTTACCTAAAATAATGTTGTAACCACCATGTCCTACTACATCTAGAACTATAAGACGTCCTGTGATATCATAGTCGCCAACCAACGTTAGTGAAGAACAATGTAGTTCAAGTTGTGCAGCTGTTTCATCCTTATTAACACTGAAATATATAAGATCCCATCAAAAACATGACATGTAAAAAAATTTAAAACTCGCTGCGCAGTTCTTCTGTCGCAAAAATTGTGAGATCTAATGTAAAACCAAGTCGATTAATTTATTGAGTAGGTATCTATGTATCCAACAACTTTGTCACAAATTGTTACTTAATTAGTTGCATAATAACAACATTTTATAATAAACGTATCAATATTGGATTTTTAGGCTGTATTTAATAAACAGAATTATTTACCCATCGCACACAGCAATAGAATCTACAAATAACAAAATTTACCTAATATACCATTCTGAGCGCATTAATTATGCATTTTGACTCGCTAGCGCTATGTTCACTTGAGGCTATTTATATTAGTAGATTATTCTTATGTGATTGTTTCCATCTGATGGCCAAGTTATTCTATTTTTTACTCGACTTGGCAGGGTCACTGCCGTGCCTCCAGATTAAAAATAAGATATCTCAATGACAATGTGTGATATATTGGAAACTAAAATAATGCGTGTACAACGAGTAGGTACTAGTCGCTACGATGTTTTTCCCAGTATCTAAAACTAATATTTAGCTTAAAAAGCGCATTCTAGCTCTTTATATTTATTTAGTTTTATTAAAATAATTCTTAACTTTTTTTTTATTCTTGCAACTTACGTACACATAATTTCTCAATAGGCACAGAAATAAGTAGAGCTGTTGCCATGTTATAAGAAAAAATAAAAAAATATTTTTGTACGTATAAAGTAAGTAGTTTTATGTTTTTAATATATATTATAATAAATTGATATTTAGATTAAATTGCAAGCTAATACTAGTAGCGTCATTGAAACATTAGATTTGAATTAGACTTTAAATGGAATATACATTGTTTTATGTACTTTTTTTAAACGTAACAACGAGTTAGTTTAAGATACTCGTGCTTTGTATATGATGTTGATTTCCTATTAAAAAATAACACAGGTACATATATGTAATTCGAACGTAATTTGTGGAAATGGTACCAACTCAATTTGCTGCGATTTTTCGTTCTATTTTACGTATAATACTTACTTAAAATTCTTTATTTCACATTTATGTTTATAGCCCTCAACCGTAGAGTTGTATAATGTATATTTTAGTGTGGATAAATTGCCCTCAATTTTTTCTAAGAATAAAGGGTCATGCTCTTTAAAAACCGAAAGAATTATGTCAGAAAAGTTTTGCTGGTCTGGATCTGAAATTAAAAAAAAAATTTAATGACAAATTCTCCGTTTGGAATTAGAAATCTATTAGCGCAAGCTATAAGGTACTCTTCTACTTTATAACTCACTTTCCTTAGTGATATTTTACACTATTTATCACTCTTAATGAATGTTTAGAAAATGTATGAAAATCCACAATGGCTTATATGTAATTCAAAAAGGAAAAATTTCTTGGTTATATGTACAAAGTTTAAGATCTATTTTTTTAATTAAGATTTTCAAATAGGGGGCAGCCTATATATATACCTACTACATATAGCCTAAAGTAATATAAATATAATTTACATCAATATCATACGAAAAAACGACACATGCAGTTCTCGGATTCCTTATATTATATATATTATGTATAATTACGTAAAGAATTACTTGGTATAAATCCTCTTCAATACAATTACTTAAATACATGTTTTAGCATTTTTCAAAATTTATTCCATAATGTGATAATATGGTGATGAAAGTTTGTATGAAACCTACCATTTTAGTTTTTTTTTTAAATACGTACCTAATTTTAGATCGAAAATAATTTTATGTACAGATTTATGTGTATTTTTTTTGTACTTTCTATGATGTTATTAGAAGTGTAAGCATTATCCATGGCTAAGCCCATGTTTTTTAAATGAAAATATTTGTAATTGTTTACTGTTGTAAATAATGCTAAGTTTGTAAATCTTGAAATACTAAAATCGGGCAAATGCTAGTCCAACTCGCACATCGACGGTTCCGTTTAACTTTAATATTTTGTTCAGCACCCTCAGGAAATATATAGCTTAAAGTGAGGGAGCACCTTTTATTGATAATATTGAATTTAAGATTTTTGTTAATGAGTACAATTCATAATGATAATATATATATATATATATATATATATATATATATATATATATATATATATATAATAAAAATAAAAAAAACCCCGACTGCATAAAAGTTAACTAAAAAGTTATAAACAATTTCACGAAGGAATTCAGTATTATGCAGTATTTTTAGTTAGCTTTTATGCAATAGTTTTATTTTTATTTTTATAATATATTTTTTTATTTACAGCTTTTTAAGTATTTTTAAGTAGGAAAATTGGCGAGAATGGTTGTTTTAACTTTAAATCATTATATAACCTAAACTGATATTTAAAATAAATAATACAGGATGTTATACCTTTTTGGAATTCTTGTTATGAGCCCTTTAATTTGATACCCATCTTTCAGAAAAATAAGATTAAAAAGAATTACACTTTAAGCAATGAAATCTAGCAGCCCACATATTTAATTTTTTTATGTCACCTGTCTAAGAACACTTGGACTAATGAGACGAATCTAACGATACCTTAATTAAAGAAATCCATCGAGTGGCTTGGAAGATATGAGGGAATAAAGAATATTACAAACAAACAAACATACGAAGATAGGCGCGAAAAACATAACCCTTTCCGGCTTGCAGTCGGGTAAAATATACTAAAGATTAAAAAGGAATTTGACAAAGTTCGTTTGAATTATTGAAAAAGTATTTCAATTTTAACTCACCCGCTAAAGCTCCACAGCAAAAAAGCACTGCTAAGAAGATGGAAAGGAACATGGTAATAGTGTATGTAACCTCTTCTGATTCAAAACTTATAATACAGTAAAGAGATCATCACTCACAAATTTATATTCTAATTAAGACTAATTATTATTCATTGTAATTTTTTATTAAGTGTGGTATTAAACTATATAAATGGTTCAGTATATAATTTTAATATTTTTAAAATTGAGCTAGCTGAAAAAATATTAAGGATGAAATTCGAATAAATATTATTAGTTCGATGACTATTATATAAGAAATAAAAAAAATACGGTTAGAATTCACGCTTTTTATTTCGCTTTCTAGGAACCACAACTCAGCGTGCATTGTAGTAGCAATAGCGAAAAGTAGATCAAGGATTTAGTTTTGACAACTGTTTACGCCGCAAGGGAAGCCCTTTAATTGACAACATTTCAAGACGGATAAGTCCCTAAAACAAAAACACCATTTCTTTATTTCTACATCAAAATCAAAATATTTTATTCAGCATTAAATTATGACAATTTTTTACTGAACGTCATGAGTCTACTACCAGTTCGGAAAGAAGAAGCCTCAGACCTGAGAAGAACTGGCGAAAGAAACTCAGCGGGACCAATATTAAATTATATTTTTTTAAAAGTAAGATTATAATTTACAATATTTTTATCAAGTTGAAGTAGCCTGGAGGCGATCATTTCATTCCCAAGGTGTGCCATCTTCTATAAAATCATTTATTGTATGATGATGATGATGTTCTTCTGGCCGATTCCGGCCACGGCGGCCAATCTCATTGAGACTAGCCAACTGCGCAGGAGATATTATAGTACTCAAGTGTACGCGCAGTCACAAGTGCACTCTCTATTCCTGTCACTCTCATACTCCGGTGGGACGACTGCTCGACACGACCAGTGAGAGTTAAGGCGCAGGACCGACGGCTTTACGTGCTCTCCGAAGCACGGGGGTGAAACACCGCCAACTTCCCAACCCCGGACTGTTACTGAGACTTACTATACAGAAAGACTCAATAACTAAACTTGGCCCGACCCGGGACTCGAACCCAGGACCTCCGAGTGTGCAGCCGTATATGCTAGCCACTACACCACTGAGGCAGTTAATATATTGTATAATAAGCCTTTAGCACACAAACGTTCTTTAACAATTTTTTTGAATTTGGCGATAGAAGCCTTTTGAACATTTTCTGGGATCCTGTTGTACAAGCGTATACATTGTCCATAAAAAGAATTACTGACTCTGTGTAGACGAGTCACAGGCATTACAAGTTTGCGTTTGCTCCTAGTATTAATGTTATGGGTATTTCTCCGAGATTGCGTTCTTCGTCTGATTTATCTGGCCAAAAATATTTTCACTTTTGGCTCTGTTCAACATACTCTTATGATTAAAGACATGCCAAATAACATATATTTGAATTACGCACTCATTTTAATAAAATAATTTTTGAGATATGTAACTTGAATTTTTTAGGGCCCATATGAATCAAAATGTGTGACTAATTTTTGTGAATAATATTACTCTTTTTTATTAATTATAATTTTTTGTATTATTTGTTAGTTTTATAATAATAATAATAATTCTTTATTTCGGAACACTTTTCCATACAATTTGAAAAGTAGGTAAATCAAACTAAAATTATAAACTAAATAAAATAAATACAAAGTTTTCCTACATTAAGAGCAATAAATAAAATTAAACATTTAAACTAAAACATAATATGAAACATCCTATAATCTATGCCTGAAGAAATTTGGCCCAAAATATTCAACAGCTTTCATGATTTTTTAGAACAACGTCATTATTTAGAACGACATTATTTAGAACAACGTCAGGTACCTAGCTGTCCCAAAAATGCCTTAGGGATATCCAATGGTAGTATCTGGAGCCACTTGAAAGTAAAACACTAGATATTCCTTAGCCTCACATTTAATCAAAAAAATATTTTACCTTTATGGTTTTACAAAGAACCAAACGATAGCGCGATTCAGATGGACCGTAGCGCCATCTGTTACGCCTCGATGCAAACTCTTAACATACCCGCCCACTAAGGACAACAGTCCTTACTATAAATTAACAATAGCAACAAACTTAAATTATTTGACACAATCAACAAAACAAAAATTAAAAAACCTAGATATGAAGCGGAGCTATATTAACCTACTACATTATTTCTTACTTATAGGTAATATAACAATCTTTGACAGAGGTCTCTTTATATACGAATTTTTATAGCGTAACGTTACTACCCTAGTCACATTGTCCACGCCAGGATGCTTTTTAACAATTTTGCCCATTAACCACCTGGCGGGTGGTAAATCCGGCTCCCTAACCAAGACAACATCACCAATCACTGGTTCCGGTATTAAACGATTCCATTTACGCCTCTGCATCAACCCTGACAAGTATTCTTGTGACCACCGCTTCCAAAAATGTTGTAACATACGTTGACACAATTGCCATCTTCTTAGCGAACTAAGTGTCGCCTGTTCATAGTTACGTTCGGGAGGTAAAACTAAAGGTTCTCCCACTAAAAAATGACCTGGAGTCAAAGGCAAAATCTCATCTTGTTCTTCCATGTACGATATTGGTCTCGAATTGAGACAAGCTTCAATTTGAGACAATATGGTGGAGATCTCTTCAAAAGTTAGCGTGGAGTTGCCGATTACTCTTGTCAAATGGTATTTGGTTGACTTTACCCCCGCCTCCCATAAGCCTCCAAAATTAGGTGCATGAGGCGGAATGAAATGCCATTGAGTTCCGTTTGTGGCTAACCAATCTGAAATTTCCGCTCGCAAATTAGACCTTTCATCCTGCAATAAAACCTTTAACTCTCGTGCCGCTCCCACAAAGTTACAGCCGTTGTCACTATACAGGTTGCTACAATGACCGCGCCTTGCTACAAATCTTTTATACGCAGACAGAAATCCCTGAGTTGTTAAGTCACTGACCGCTTCTAAATGTATTGCTCTAGTTGACATGCATACGAAAAGACAAATGTAGCCCTTGTAGGATTTGTTGCCACGTCCCTTTGAGACTCTGATGTTTATGGGTCCCGCGTAGTCTACGCCACTAAACGAAAATGGTCTAGATGCGGAAATTCTCTCCGCTGGTAACTGGCCCATTAATTGATTTTTAATTTGGGTGCGATAACGGGTACACTTTACACAATTTCTATAGTGAAATTTTACTAAATTTTTAGCTCCTATTATCCAATATCTGGAACGTATGTAATTAAACATTAATTGTGGGCCTCCGTGCAAAGTTTTTATATGTGCATCTCCTACTATAAGTTTAGCTAAGTGAGCATCATGAGGAATTAATAAGGGATGCTTTCTATCCTCTTCGACCTGGGCCAATTGCAACCGCCCACCAACACGAAGCATTCCAAGATCATCTAAATAAGGATTCAAAGAGGTAAGTTTTGATTTAGCTTTTATGTTTTTACCACTAGTAATGTCTTGTATTTCTTGCTTAAAATATTCATTTTGGCATTGCTTAACTATACAATCTAATGCTTCCTGTATTTCCTCTTTCAGAAGGTAAGTATGTTTTGGTATTTTATTCTTTTCTTTTTTCAGGAATCTTTTACAGTAAGCTACAACTCGCGACAACCTACTTAATGATGAAAATTTGTTCGAGATATTTTCGTGTTCTTCTACTGCAATGTTAACAAACTTCATTCTTTCTTCTAGGTGAGTGGTTAAACTCTTCGGATTTACATATGGAATGTCATGATGCTTTAACCAATTTGGCCCATTTACCCATAACTGGTGAGTACTAATATCTGATGGTTTTACCCCTCGAGAAGCAGCGTCGGCTGGGTTTGTTTCTGATTTAACATATGACCACTGGTTTCGCTCTAACAGTGTTAGAATTGTTGCTACTCTATTACCAATGAAAGGTTTCCACTTGCTAGGGTGACTACTCAACCATGCTAATACCACCTCCGAATCAGTCCATGCATGCCAGTGCTCCTTAGGAACATTTAGGACTGTGCCCACTTCCACGAGAAGTTTTGCTAAAAGTACAGCTCCACACAACTCTAGTCTCGGGATGGACACTTGTTTAATCGGGGCAACCCTGGTTTTAGCTGATATTAAACTAACTTCAATGCTATCCTCACAGGTAACAACGCGTAAGTACACTACAGCACCATATGCCACATTGGATGCATCGCAAAATCCATGGATTTCTACAAGACGATTATTACTTTCACACTTCATCCATCGAGGCAAGCGGAAGTTGGTAAGTTGTGTTAAATTATTACGATACGTAATCCATTCTTCAAGCAAACCTTGCGGCAATTCATCATCCCATCCCAATCCCGACATCCATAATTTCTGAATGAATATTTTTGCGCTTATTATGCTTGGAGCAATCCACCCTAGTGGATCATATAACCGCGATATATCGGAAATTACCTTTCTTTTTGTTACAGGTGCAGACATGGCTGGTAAGTTAACGGCGTACTCAAATTCATCTTGGTTTCGGCTCCAGGTAAGTCCCAATATTTTATTTTTACCTTCTATTAATTGTTCCTCAATTCCCTTACCTTCCTCTATTACTCTTTCCCCCTTACCTTTCTTTTCTATCATTTTCATTACTGTTTCGTCATTGCTTTTCCATTTTTGTAGCTGAAATCCCCCTTTTTCTAATAATCCATTTAATTGATTAAATATTTGCATTGCTTCCGTTACATTTTCACATCCTGACATAAAATCATCCATGTAAAAATCCGTTTTAACTTTATCTACAACTAGTGGATATTTGCTTCCCTCATCAATAGCTAGCTGTATGAGTGTTTTAACAGCCAGATAAGGTGCTGATGACGTGCCAAAAGTCACCCTCAATAATTTATATTCCTTAAGATCTTTTTCAGGTGCATCTCGCCAGAAAATACGCTGGTAATCCGCATCTTCGTCCCTTATACGAATCTGCCTATACATCTTAGTAATGTCGGCGGAGAGGCAGATTCGGTGTATCCTCCAACGCAATATGATGTGACGAAGTTCCGATTGCAAGGTTGGTCCTACCAGCAGGTCGTCATTTAGCGCTACTCCGTTTTTCCCTTTACAGGAAGCGTCAAAAACAACGCGCACTTTCGTAGTCGTCTTATCGTTCCTTATGACTGCGTGGTATGGTAAGTGCACTCCAATCTTGCTGTCTTCACTATTAATTGGTCGCATATGCTGAAGTTCCACATACTCATCAAAGGTTTGTTTAAATTCCCTTTTTAAGTTTTCATTCCTTGCTAATTGTTGTTCTAGTTTCAGAAATCTTCTCAAAGCTGCTTCCCGTGTCTGACCTTGACAAGTCGGATTATCATCCCGGAACGGTAACTTGACAATATAACGTCCAGTTTCATCACGGGTAGTAGTTGCAGCATAGATTTCTTCACACCGTTTCTCCTCTTCTGACATTATCTTCTGATTTAACTTTGGCTCGTTTTCGATTTCCCAAAATGATTTCAAAAAATCATCCGATTGAACATGCATGCTAACTATATTTGCAGCATGTGATTGTAATCGATTTGTCCCGGTTAAAATCCAACCAAAAATGGTGGCTTGAGCTAACAACGACCCTGATGAACATTTGCGAATACCTTCCATCAATATATTCCCATAAACATCTGACCCTAACAACAAATCGATTTTGTTAGGTGAGTGGAAATTCGGATCGGCTAACTTGATATCCTTTAAAATCGGCCATGATGCCACCGAAACTCTTTGAGGAGGTAGAAATCCCGTTATTTTGTCTAAAACAAAGGCTGTTACTTGGACGCTGCAGTCTGGATTGTGCAATGAATGCAAAACAAGATCTGTTTTGGATTTTGAAACCACGTTAATTTCACCGCCCAACCCTGCAAAATGACCCTTGACCGCTTGACGTTTGATTCCCAGTAACTGAACCGCTGCTTGCGTTATGAATGAAATGTGTGAACCCTGGTCAATTAACGCACGCAATGGGATGGTTCCGTTCTTAGACTTAACATAAACAATTGCTGTTGGTAACAAAGAAATTTGCTCTCCACCCTTTGAAATATGTAAACTACCCTTCTCCGGTTGTTCTTCTAATACCTGAGGTGATGCTATAGGCTCCATATTACTACTACTGGAATGAAGTAATGAGTGATGTCGTCTTTTACAAATGTGACAAGAAGTTGTACTTCTACAATGTTTTACACTGTGACCGTTTCCTAAACAATTAAAACATAACTTATTATTTTGAACAAACAAACGTTTTGCGTTATTATCTAATTTTACAAAATTATTGCATGAACTTATTCTATGGTTACCTTGACAATAAGAACAATTATTTTGTGATATATATTGACTATTATTAACATGACATTTTGAAGTTTGATTATGCTTATAATTAGAAATAGGCTTTGTATCTAAGAATTCTAATGAATGAAATCTATTTTGCAAAAAATTTTGAAACTGTTTAAAGTCTGGTAATACATTACAATTAAATGTTATTTCGCTAACTTTAGCTTCCCATTGTTTTCTTGTCTCTGCATCTAATTTTTGTGACACAATATAAATAATTATTGCATCCCAAGACGTGGTATCGATATCTAAATTTTGCAATCCTTGCATCATATCTGTGGTGTTGTCCAGTAATTGTTTAAGGCTCGTAGCAGATTCTGTCGTGAGATTACGTTGTGCGAAAAACCGGGTGAAAATATTATTAACCAAAAATTGTTTATTGTTATAACGTTGCTCCAATATATTCCAACACTGTTCATAATTATCATTAGTTATAGCTATGTGTCGCAACAACTGCTCTGCTTCTCCCGTTAAATGTCCCTTAAGATAATGTAATTTCTGGACGTTATCAATATCGCTATTATTATGAATCAAAGATACAAACAAATCTCTAAACGTTAACCATTCTGTGTATCTACCCGAGAATGTAGGAATTGCTATTTTCGGTAATCTTACAGGTGTTTTCGTGACTTTTATCTCTGTGCAAGACTTGCTTGTCGCTACTGAACTACCTTTAATTCCATCTAAAAGGTCACTAAGTTCCGATTTAAAGTCTAAATAGAATTCCTCAACTTCGTTGTGTATGTCTTTTAGAAAATAACTAGATCCTACCGTGTCTTTACTTTTTAAAATCTCATAATGATTTTGAGAAAATTCTTTCCACTTATTGTTAATAATCTCAATCCTGGTTTCAATATAAGATCTAGAAATCCTCTCTTTAGGACTCTTTTTGAAATTAACTTTTGCCTTTTGTAGCTGCAATCTAATATCTTCTTGAATTTTTATAAGTTCCATTATGATGATAAATTATACAAGTTAATTTCGATGAAATTTTTCTAAGTGTTTTTAGCTTGATAATTTCTATGTAAAATTGGGCATAGGTTCCCCGTATGATTCACTTTTTGCAAACTATTCTAAGTTCTAACTAACACTTTATTTTTTCCAAAGTTAATTTAGTTTAAATTTTCTAAGTTCACTTTATGTTAAATTTTCTAAGTCCCAAAGTTACTTGTATTTATTCCTAAGTTTTTATAATATAAAAGTACTTACAGTTTAATGTCCATAAATATCACTGCACTATGTCACTTGCCCAGTAATCCGGCCAAAGTTGCTACTGTAGATGGTCGCCCTGTAGAGATGCCCATCCGTGTGGACGCCGCCGTTGTCGATGTCCTGGGAACAGCCGTAGTCACCAGGTGCTTCGAGATCCTCAACGACAATCCGCCGCCCTTGATCACGATTGGACTTAGATCAACTCCTTGCCTGATATAATCCGGCTCGAAGGACCATGTCCCAAAAATGCCTTAGGGATATCCAATGGTAGTATCTGGAGCCACTTGAAAGTAAAACACTAGATATTCCTTAGCCTCATATTTAATCAAAAAAATATTTTACCTTTATGGTTTTACAAAGAACCAAACGATAGCGCGATTCAGATGGACCGTAGCGCCATCTGTTACGCCTCGATGCAAACTCTTAACACCTAGCCAGATCCATTTTTATATTTAAATACCATAGTAACTGATTTTTACTATTGTAAACTTCACCATGACTTTTAATATATTTTTCTCAAATAGAAAGGAGCCTCTGCAAACATCTTATTGATGGATTGAGCAGCACCATATCATCAGCCATATATCAAATAGCCATAGCTATGGCTATTTGCACTGCATTCGTCTATGTGACATCCTATACTATTGTATTATATCATTTTTCTTTCGCTGTGTCGCTGTCGTGGTGCCGTAATGCTTGGGACCTGACCTTAATGATGATTGTATGATAAATAACTTAAACAAAATGTACCACTTTATGATTCATATAGGTTTTTTACCACATGAATCAGACCCAGACAAATCAGAATTTTACCTAAAATCTTCGATTACCCGTGACATATATTTACGCCGGTATTCGCATTTAACCACAAAAATCTATAACCCAAACGTATTTTTTGGGGCATAGATTCAAGTTTTAAAACTCTGTAACATAATTTGTTAACTAGACATATTAATCAGAAGCCCACCTGAATCAAGAACATACGTATCAAATACTTACTTTTGTATCTCTTGATCGACGCTGACCTGGCCGAACGTCTACCTTCAGGCCCATTCGTCGCACAACAGACTACCTCCCATGCGGGTGGTGATGGTCTCACTTTTCGTATTTCGCCGAGTACAATCGAGCGAAGCGCGCACCATATTAATCAACATCTTTGCCGGACATTTTTTATTTCTTTATTTATAATAATTAAACTAACGTAGATATAACAAATATTTTTTTTTGTTAAAAGATAACTAATCTTCTTTCGATGTGATTATAATTAATATTGTTTTTTCAATAAGATAACGCGTTATTTATAATTTTGTTCAGAAAAATGGGGAACAGACACGTCATATGAATCAGAAGAACGAGTTTCAAACGATTTTTTTATATATTTAGAATGCAATTATTATACAAACGGAATTGGTCCAAGTTAGATAGATAATAGTCTAAGGTGCAATAAAAAAATATTTCAGCCCGTTTTATAAGCTAGTTACAGAGATTAACCTCCAGAAATCGAAAACTTAAGGCGCTGAGAAATACCCTTATGTATGTCACACTTCTTGGGAAATTCGTGTATATTTTTACGGACATACATAACATTTTCATACACGTACTGAGAAGCAACAGTCAATATTTTTAATTTTTCTAAACTTATCTCTTAATGACACTTTAGGACCTAAACTATAAATTGGACGAATAGCTCTTTTCTGCAGGACAAAAATCGTATTAATAGCAGCTGCATTTCCCCATAGTAAGATACCATAGGACATAATACTATGAAAATAACTAAAATATACTATGCGAGCTGTATCTACGTCAGTAAGAAGTCTTATTTTTTTTACCGCGAACGCTGCAGAGCTGAGTCTACTCGCTAGCCCCTCAATATGGGGGCCCCACTGCAATTTCGAATCTATGATAATACCCAGGAATTTAGTGGACTCTACAGGTTTTAATACTTCGCCATTTAATATTATACAATTATCAACAAGTTTGACTTTAGTGGTTGAGAATTTTATTAATTTTGTCTTTTTATTATTTAATAAAAAAATATTTGAATCAAACTAATAGACAACCTTTGAAAGAGCATCGTTTACATCGTCGTACATTAGCGAATTGCGCTTCACTTTAAAAATAAGTGAAGTGTCATCAGCGAACAATACTATCTCATGTTTGTCCTGTACAAAAATGGCAAATCATTAATGTAAATTAGAAAAAGAAAGGGGCCAAGAATAGACCCTTGTGGAACCCCCATATTTAATGGAGCTCCAGAAGATCTCTTACCATTTACATCAACCCTCTGTATTTTATTTTTTAAATACGAATTCAGAAGGTCGAGTGCCTTATTTCTAATACCATAGTGATGCAGTTTCCTGATCAGCGTCTCATGATGTACACAATCAAAGGCCTTGGATAAGTCACAGAATATCCCAAGTGCATCTTGTGACCTTTCCCAAGCCCCAAAAATATTTTTCACTAGCTCAACACTAGCATCTGCCGTGGAGCGGCCTTTCGTAAATCCAAATTGTTTTTTATGAAGTAGATTATGTGCATTGAAATGCGTTAACATTTGCAGTGCATAAACGTTGGCAGTACCCAAATTGGTCTAAAATTATTAGGGTCTAAGGTACTACCTGATTTAAAAATAGGAATAATTTTACTGTGTTTCATTAGATCAGGAAACGCACCACGTTCTATACTGCTATTAAATACAGTAGCTAGATGAGGTGCAACAACATCAATTACCGAACTAATAACTTTTACAGATATACCCCATAGATCAGCGGTTTTCTTGACATCCAAACTTTTGAAGGCTCAGATGATATCTTTGGGGTATACATTTTTAAATTCAAATACTAAATTACATTCTTTAACGTGTTCCTTAAGTAAAGATTCGACAATGGTGGGAGATGAATTGAGTGATTGCGTTGTTAAATTGGAATGTCAGTGAAAACATTTTCAAACTTAGATGCAACTTCTAGGTTTGAAGTAATAAAATTATTGTTGATATTCAACTTATAATCGAAGCTGCGATCTGTGACTGTTCCACCTTCACAAGCAATTATGTTCCATGTCACTTTTACTTTATTATCTGAATTTTTTATTTTGTCTTTAATGTACAAAGATTTTGCCATGGAACATATTCTCCTAAACATTTTTGAGTAGGAACTTACAAAAGAAGCAAACGATGTACTATGATTAAGAGCTTTTTCACCATACAGTTCATATAGTCTTTGCCTGCTCTTGTAGACGCCAGTAGTTGCCCATTCACTAAATGACAAGAGACCCCCTGAATTGACTGTTTTAGAAGTAAATATTGTAGCAAATTCTGTTTTTATTAATTTAAGTAAAGAATTATATAAGAAGTTGGGGTCATTACTGTAGGATAAATAAGGAAGTTTTGCTACAATATTACCTCTGAACTTCTCCATAAGTGTAGTGATTATAGGGACAAAAGCCTTTTTTAACATTTTTTTATTGGTATTTAAAGTATAAGAAAATGAAGCTAACTGACCACAATGGTCTGAGCTCAATTTGTTTATAATAGATTTAGAGGTTTGCTTACAATTTGTGAA